TCTGATTTAATTCTCTCTGAGCACTGTCCTACCATTCAGTTTTTGTGTTCAGATCTCCCTGTTTGTCAAGGGGGGAGTGTGGAAAGGAGAGAGGACCTGCTCCCTGAAAGCTCCTGTATTTCAATGGCAGCTCTTTGTCTCTGAGGAAAGGAGCAGCCATACATTTGTTTTCAGCTTTAGAGGCTGACATGAAATTAAGTGTAAATGCATTCCAAGCAATGGAGTCAAATTTGCTTACTAATCTGGGCTGCATCTCATTTTTCTCCTCCTCACACCGAAACCAGCAGTACCAGTAGCTGTGCCTGCGTCACCTCTTCCCAATCCTGCAGGAGAATCTCCCTGGCTTGCAGCAGGAGTAAACAGGGGTCAGGGCAACAGGAAAGGAGATGAGGGACATGGAAATGGGATGGAAGTCAACAGTGACTTGAGATCCAGGAGAAATGTGCTGTTCTTTAAAACCAATTCTCTTAGCTTTTCCCCAAAAAAGGATCTGCTTCTTCATTTTAAAGAGGATTTGGGCTGAGCAAGGAAGTCTGGCTCAGCACGTGAGGTGGAGATAGGGAAATGTTTGGTGTCAGCAGAGAAAAATCCCCATTTTATTAGGTAATTTTGTTACTTTCCCAGTTTACCCTGCCTACCTTGCTGTTCCTTCATGATCTCCTTAAACCACACCTTCCTGCTGCTTCTCAGCCTGCAGAGCACAGGTGCCACCAAGGAGGATCCAAACACACAACTGTCCTGCTGTCAAATTAACCTGTCACCAGGGGTTTTAAACTTGCCTTCTTCACCAAGAGCAGAAACAAAATAAAATGAGAAATAAATTTCTTCATAGCATTTTTAATTATTGCAATTTGGTTAAAACACCTTTTTTGTTAAGGTTTGAAATTACTTTTTTTTTAAGGCAGATATGTTTGTTTTGTCTTTACAACTTCTAAGCAAAATTATGAATTTTTTTTATAGTGTGTGTACGTATATGAATGTTTTGCAGCAGTTATGAAATCTTCCAAATTTAAAATTGATTTTTATATTGTCTAATGCGGTAACTAAAATAATTCAGCATTAGCTCAAAAAAAGAGTTAGAACAATAATATATAAAAGGAAAGGAAACTAGAAGAATTATTCAAGTAAAAATATAATACGCTATCATGACATGTAAAAATTAAGCTGTGTGTGTTTTGGTTTTTTTTTAATAAGTTACAGCTGTATTTTATATTTATGGCTTTATCAGTAGTTGGTTAAATACCGAAAGGCAAATCTTTTGGGCTGATATAAAACTCTCTGGGGCTCCCTTGCTCTGTTCAGCCATGCATAAGTTTTTAGATGTTCCAAAGATCACCTAAAATGACTGTACTCTTTTTATTCATCTCATCAGCAAAGTTCATCTCATCAGCCAGAGAGACACCATCTAAACTTTTAGGCCACAAATTGTACTTTCCCAGCAAAAATACTGTGTGTTTTACTTACAGAGACTGTAAAGTACAGGATTGCACATCAATGATGTGTCTTTTTATGTCAGAAAATGGGAAATTGCTGTTTACTGAGAGGAAAGAGGATTAGAGTAGCCCTAAGAAGGATTCAGCTGTCTGCCTTTGTATGCAGATCTAAAATAGTCATAAATTAGCCATTTTACCCTTAAAGCAGCGCATACATGCAGCTTTTTTTTTTTTTTTTCTGGAACAGTAGTATTGAATACAAGAACAGGTAGTTTTGCCATTTCCAGAAGTATCTTTAAGGGCAGGGCAAGCTGGTGACTAAGCAATAGGCAAGGCCATGATATCTGATGAAACATTAATGCCTGAAAAGCAGCATGATGTTGATTCCAGGAGGTTGGTCTGAGTGGGTTTTGTGAATTTTAATGTAGTATCAGTCCTGGGTACAGACTTTCTCTTCCCCACCCCTAAACACGTGAAAGCCGATCTGTAGCTGCATTATTTTAATTTTGTTTTCTTTTTTCCACAGGCTGCCTTTTTTTTTTTTTTTTTTTTTAGCTTTTTGGGCTGCTTTTGGGTCTTTTTTTTGCTGTTCTCACTGAAGCCCTGATCAACTTTAAAGGCAATTCAGCATACTGTAAAGAAGAAATTTATATCTTCCTCAAGATATATATTTTTTTAAGGTGTATTTTGTATCTAACAGTGGGTATGATTGGTGTAAGGAGGAAGAGACTTCCTTAGTCCATTACACATGTACATGGGAGCTGGGCATATCATACTTGACCTTACCTGGCCAGTGAAGTCAGGTACAGAAATCACCACCGTCCCTTCTGGCACGTTGTCTTCAGTATCTCTTCGCATGCAGCTTTGAAAACTAGGTTAACACAGAGAGCACTTTTTTTAATGTTCCCTTTCTGTGCTTTAGATGCCTGTTCCCTGATAAGCTAAAATCAACCATTCCTGCAGCCATGTAGAATTTCCCAGGAAACTTCTGTTCTGTGACCATCTGTGAGCTTCTCATTTAGTGTCCAAAAATGTACCTTCAGTTCCTTGGTCTGCAGCTTCCCAAGCTTTGGGCTTTCCATTTGTGAACTTCTATCCATTTGCCTCAGCAGCATCTGGTTGTCAAATGCTCTAAAACTGTGGAAAATCACACCAGAAAAAAACCCTGAAAATATTTTGGGTGTCACAGTTTATCAGTTTTTATATTTCTTTATAGATTGATTCATTGCTGAGTTGCGTGAGGATGCGAGATAAAAATGCAAAATAGCTTTAAATTTCTTGTGTGTTAACCAGCATAGTGTTCAGACGATGCTGGTTCTTGTTTTCTGTTCAATCTTTTTTTTAATTTTGCTTGGACAGAGACCATAAGCCAATATTCAGAGTTACTTGGCAGTAGCCAAGTTGTGAAATGCACACCCAACCTGTGGGGCATTATGGTTGCTTAGTTCATGCATGTAAATCTGGGAGTTTGAGCACTGAACAAGTCCACACCCATAGGGTCTTCTTGGAAAGTTTGTTCTAACATTTACTCTTAATGGCATTATTAATTTAATGGTTCCATTTTCAGAGTCATTGAGTAATGACAGTTTTTAGAAAAGTCCAAACAACTGAGTGCTTAGCACTTTTTGAATATTAATTTGAAATGTTATGAAGTCTGTGCTGCAATTGGGGTATATGTCAATGCAGTTAGTTCCATCTCTTATGATTTAGTTCAAGTCTACTATAAATTTACTACTTTACACTATAAATATACATTAACAGGTAAAAAAAAAATAATCTCAGTTTTAGAATCATTATTAACAAAAACAACTCCTGGCAAAAAGCCTTTAAAGAAAGTAGATCAGAGAATTTTTGGTGGATGCATTTGATTAGTCTTTTTGGCAAACAAAATCAGCTTATTTAAGGATACACTTTTAAAATGGTCTATACTAAATGTAACAAAGAGAGATGCAGCCATAGTAACTTTACTGTGCCAGTTACTGTGTGTCATGTGAAAAGGAGGGGGGGTCTACCCAACCCTTGGTGTGTGGGAGATTTTCTTGATCCTCAGTGTTTTATTTGTCTGTTGGAGCCCCAGGAAAGCTGAGACTCCTGTGCCCAATCAGTCTGTCAGTGTCCTGTGAGGGGACCCTTCACTGAACAGATTCACAGGGTTGGAGGGTGATTTGACTGCCCTTTTCAGGAGGGGCTCAGGCAACTGTGTGGAGACCCCTCAGTGGATCTTCCCAGCCTGTAACCACCACTGGCAACTGCCAGCAGCTGTGAAGGACTCACTCTAACAGTTTGTGGAATACCACTCTTTATTAATACAAATTGGGACAGGTTAATAAGGTTCAAAGTCATCAGTGGTAGTGTCTGACTGCAAAAATGAGTTTAAAGTGATCTAATATCCTCTAAAGCAAGCACAGACTCTAATCCTAGAAACAGCATTCAGTGCATATAGAGTATGTTTCTTACCCAGTAGGGGGGAAGACAACATATGCCAGCAATTTCAGTGGAATCTTCCTCAGTTTTCCTCCTATCCTCAACTTACTTCTATACTATTTCTTTAGGTTAGATGGAGCTTGAGTGACTTCAGTCATTAATACCTGAAAGGAGGTTGTAGCCAGGTGGGGGTTGGTCTCTTTTCCCAGGCAACTATCAGCAAGACAAGAGGGCATGGTCTTAAGTTGTGCCAGGGGAGGTTTAGGTTGGATATTAGAAAGAATTTCTTTACAGAGAGGGTGGTCAGACGTTGGAATGGGCTGCCCAGGGAAGTAGTGGATTCACTGTCCCTGGAGGTTTTTAAGACAAGACTGGATGTGGCTCTTAGTGCCATGGTCTAGTAACCACAGCAGTAGTGGGTCAAGGGTTGGACTTGATGATCTCGGAAGTCCCTTCCAACCCAGCTGATTCTATGATTCTATGAATACTTTATCTCTGATTGATATAAACTCACTTCACATGCTTAATGGGCGTGGTCACATCTTGGCTTCCAGGGATTCAGTATAATTGTTGACTCAGCTGCAGAGCATTTTCATGTTTATCTCTTGGTTGACAGGTACTATGTGGTCTTTGAACTAAAAAGTGCTCCCATGTTCCCATCCCTGCAGGGATTTTTATGGAGTGAGGCCATAAAAAGTGAGGCTTCACCCTCTCTTCCATCCCCTTTAGCAGATGCTTATCATTGTATAAGGAACCTTTGTGTTTCCATCCAGGGAGATGCATCTGCATTTTACCCTATAATTCTTAGTCTCCTCTAATTTTTAACCCCAGCCATCTTCCCACACTGTGTCATAAAGATTTTCAGAGATTTCAGGTCTTCTTTTAGAAAGATCTCAGTTCTGGAAATGCTTACACGTAGTTCACAGTTTGTGGAAGTTAGTATGTAAGAAGTCTTTGAAGGTTTTGGACTTCAGTGGTTTTCTTGCTAGTGTTGAAAAATTCCTTTGGGAATTTACATGAGTACTGCTGTGAAAGGGGTAGTTGCCATTATTTCTGCTCTGTGCATTTATTGAATTTGTGATAATTTCCCTTGATGCAAATGCAAAAGATTATGTATTGTCCTGTTCATTTTTGTTGTTTTAGGAGTCTTTGGATGATTCTCAAGTAGCTGGAGTTTGTACAACAGAAGAAGTGATTCGTTATGAGTATCATGTCTTGTACTCCAGCAGCTACCAAGTACCTGTGCTTTATTTCAGGGCATGCTTTTTAGGTAAGACCGACCAATCGTGTATTAAATATGTGGGATGCAGTAGATGTTAAAAGCATGAATTCTTGTGTTAAAGTAAGGAACAGATGTGTAAAATAAGAAAGTAAGAGATGAGGCTGCTCACCAGTAAATTTTGTAACATAGAGCTTCAGGACCATGGAATAGATGATATCACCCTAGCCTGAGGGAGGCTGAACTTTGGCTCTTGGCATCTTGCCTGTGGTTGACTAAAACTGCTGGTCATTTTTCGTGTTCCTTTTCTTGAAATGACTGCAGAAACTTAATGCAGCACGTTTGAATTGGGCCACGCAGTAAATGGGCATAATATAATTATAGAGCTTGTGTGTTTCTTTGGAGCCTGAATTTGAATCAAAAGACTGGGGTCTAAATGTGTCTTTAAAATTGTATGCTGTTTTCTGTTTAAATTTGCTGCTTAAGGGAAAATAAAATAATTCCAATATGGTATTGGGTTTTTGTATTTAAACTGGCTCTGGAGGCACTAACTGATCATCTTTCCTTCCTGAAATATGCATCTTGTTACCTAAGGCTGCTGTTTGTGTCACTTATTTAATCAGCAAACAGAGTGATCACACTGTGGCATTGGCTGTGCTCTCTTCTTCACTGCCCAAAGTCTGTGTCCAGCACTGGTACAGGCTGCCCAGGGCAGCGGTGAAGTCACCATCCCTGGAAGTATTCAAAAAACATGTGGATGTGGCACTGGGGACAGGGTTTAGTGCTGAACATGGCTATGCTGGATTAAGGCTTGGACTCGATTTTAGAAGTCTTTTCATACCTAAATGATTCAGTGATCAACATCTTTTGTGTTTTGAATAATATCTTACCTTTATCTAGATAAAGATGTCTGAATGTTGCCAGTGATATCTTTTCTTTTTTAATTAAAAAGTAGCTTAAGCTGCTGAATGTGTTTGGTAGATTTAATCACTCTCTGCCTTATATTGTTTAATGGTTTCTAATTTTGCAGTGTTGGCATTTTGAAAGGCACTTCACATTCAAAATTGGAGAACAAATTCTCATAGACTCCCTGGTGGAAAGATTTTAGTCTGAGGTGCAGTTTCAGGAATGGATAATTTGGGGTAAATTTTCAGACAGGGACATGGGGAATTGGGGACATTGCTCTGCCTTTACCACCAACAGTACTCATTTGCACACATCCTGCTGCAAATTTATTTCTGGTTTTATTACAGGCTTTTACAAATGTGCACTGTTTTGCCTTTAAACTTGTTGTGCAGACAGGAAGACAAAGGAAGTTTTGCTGTGAGAGACGGGTTAACCTATTTGTGGTCCTGAAAAATGTAATTTTCTTCATTTTTGCTGAATTAATAGTTCACTGTCTCTACAAGAAGAGGATGGAGACACTGCAAGTAGAGGAAGGAGGACACTATCTCTACTGTACTGTACTTTCATATAATTAGTATTCACCATAAGCAGTTAATCACCAGAGAAGAACTCACAGAGACAAAACCAGTTGTTTAGCTTGTCAGCATCAGGGAATCGGAGGTGTTGAAACATGACTCCTTATAGCTGGAAGTGGGTATTACAGGAGCCAGTGGATGATCTAATGCACAATCATGGTATTATGTGCAAACAGCTCCCCTTGCAGTACAGAATCGTAATTGTTTCTGCAAGTACAACTAGCTTTTAAAACACTTCTTGAGAACCTTTCACAAAGGAGAACAAGGGATTTTTTTAGATACTTCCTGGAGTCACTTGGGTTCTCTTTTAACGTTTAAGTATACCTGACTCTTGAAGAGAGAAGGATACACAATGGTGGCAATAAGTGCGTTTCCTACAATGTTTTCAGCAAGTATTCTCTGATTTTAATTATGGATAGCTTATCTTTGAAATTCTGTCTTCCCCGCATGTTGTTTGCCTGCTTGTACTGTGCTGTCTGAAGGTCCCAACATGGAGTTTTTGGGACTGTGTAGGTGACAGTCGCTCACAATCTCTTGAGATACCTGAGCAGTGTATGTTTCATCTTGTCCCAAACCTGGTATGAGGAAAATTCAAGGTAATGCCCTGAGATTTTTTTCCTTTGAGGTAATAGTCTTCATGTGATAGGCTCCTCACCTTGTTTCTCAGACAACGAGCAATACTCACTGCATTCCTCATCTGAAATAATCAAGGAAGAATTTTCTAGACACCTTCCTCAATTTCCCAGTCCAAATTCTTACCATTATTTGTAAATTAGGTAACAGAATCAATTCCTCACCAATGTCTTGTGAGCTGTTCATGATTTCCCTTGAATCCTGTCCGTACTTATCCTGATGTTAATTAGAGCCGTTGCAGGGGGTGGAGCTGAGCTATAATCCTTCCAGGATTTCCACAGCCCTGTCCAGTCTTGCCTTCCCCAGGAGCGGGACACAGAGTTTGAATGCAAAACTCTGCTTCCTCCCTGGCAGTGTGTTCAGTGGCCATTACACCTAGGTAATAATAATAATAATAATAATAGTAATAATAGTAATAATAATAATTCTGTTCAACCTGATGGAGTAGTTTTGTCGTATTCACTTCCTCACTTTGTGTGTTCTAACAGCAGCTGATGCTACCTGTGCAAATCTGCCAGACTCTTCACAAACTCTTCTCGAATGATGAAATCCTGCCTTTTTCCCACTGTATGTGAGTCCAGTTCCCATTGACTTGGTCTCTCACAGTCCCTCCTAGGAAAAAGGCTCCCTGTAGAGTTATTGGGGGGATTTTCCTGTCATTTTCAGCTTGGTTGGTATCTTTAGGTGCTTGTGTCAGTGAAGACATCCAGTTTTCACTCCTCTCTTCTACCATTTATGTTCAACCGCTACAGATCACTTCCTCCTGCAGAAGGGAAAAAGTTGCATCATGTCCTTATCCTTGCTGCTTTCTAAATTGGATGAAATAGCTTATTTTCTGGAATTCATCTATAGACCTCTTTTTTTTTTGAGATGAAGTTTGATACGTAAGGTGGTGTAAGGTAAGGTTTGAAATTTTAATTGCAGCAGAACTTAAACATTCTGAGACACATCTAAACTTCTTGGTAGTCTCTGGGTGTAGATTTACAGGGAAGATCTTGTTCTGTCCAAGGACAAATATTTCAGTTGAAAATAATGATTAAAGTGTGATGAGCATGTCTGGAAAGAGGCTTGGGAACACTATAGGATGCCAAGAAGATATTTTTAGGCCACGTGTATACACATAAGAAACGTTTTTCACTACCTCATGATGCTTCCCCACATGGCATATATTCCTAAATTCAGACCTCCTGAAGTCACAGTCTGTGTCAGGAGCTCAAGGCAATGGTTCCAATACCTCAGAGGCTCCTTTCCCCAAAATCAGCCTTATGCCTGCCATACCTTCCAGAAATAGGAGCCTCGCTTCCTTTCTCTGGCTTTTGGTACTGTCAGGTAGGTAGTTGAAGAAATACATGAACCCCTGCTGACATCACCCCTGCTGATATGTGATGTCAGCAATTAGCCCTCTTGGAGACAGATGGTGTAGGCAATTATCCTTCCTCTTCAATGCTGGCATCGGCCGGATGGGCTGGGCTAGGTCCAGTAAGCTTTCTTTAATCAGTAGAGTATTTACCTCTTTTCTTAGTCTTTAAGAGGCCAAGGAGCTTTGGTCTTTTCCTGAACCATCCTTCGTCTGAAACCATACATTCAAAAACCTCTTGCCATAGATTAAAAAACCAGAGTGAGGTAGCAGCCACACAGTCACAGGTGAGCACAGGCACCATTCAAGAATTACCCTGCCTGCTAAGAAAATGATGGCTTGTCTCGCATTTCTTGTTTTTCCTGAAAAGTTAAAGGAATCATCATGAATGCTGTCTAAATACTGAAAAGAAAGAGCAGAACTAGTGGGAGTCAGTAAGGGCTTCAGCCTTCCTCTTCTAGGAAAGAGAGAAGGAATTGGGTTTTGAAGCTGATCTGTTCAAAATCTATCTAGCTCTGTGACATATAGCTAAATCCCTGCCAACAAAAACCATGCTAATCAGTGGTTAGGGAGAGTGAGCTTCTGAGATGGTGTAACTTCCTCTAACCCTGAAGGCATGACTTTCTGTATTCATAACCATACTGGACCTGGCTGAAGCACTTTCCAGAATGCAGATTTACTCCCTGAACTCAGAAGCATGTAACCACCATGTCCTTTCTCAGCAATACAGCTGCTCTTAAGACCATGTCCCATAAGAACTGGTTTTATTGTGGCTTTGGACATAAATGAGATTGAATAATTTGTATGATTTGATATTCCCTTTAGCTGTAATGGTGTTTTTTCTCTTTTGGCAACAGTTTCTTAAGATTGTTTTTTTATAAAATGTGTCAGAATGATGCCTCAAAACAATTTTGTGCACCATTTCACTCAAAAGTGTAAAAAATCCCTTTAATTGAGAATGTCAGAAATGATTAAAAACTTTAAATTGGGAATCTCAAAAATTGCTAAATTACTAAAAATTTTAAAATTATTAAAATTATTAAAAACTTTAATTTGGGAATCTCAGAAATTGTTCAAAGCCGTCCGTAAACATCAAGAAAACACAATACAGCAACTTGGGAAGCCTTAAAATTTTCTCTGAGAATGTATGTGGAATTTGCCTGCCTAAAGAATTTCCAGTCTTTGCAAGAATTAAGATACCAGCTGAGAGCTGCAACTTGTCTGTGGTCTGAAAGCCTCTGCTTGCTGCTATGAGGCGGCACTCAACCTCCTGCTTTTTAACTCTTTCTTATTTGTGGTGACATGATTAACCCCAAGTGGGCCATTGAGAAGCTTTTCTCAGAAAAGTTTGTTGTGGTCTAAACAGTTTAATAATAAAACTACCCCAGCTAGTCTTGGGATGAGCCTTGGGACATGGAGCAAGCTGTGTCCTCCTGGTAAGTGATGAGTAAATGTAATGATGGTGAATCTGGAGCCTCTGCCTTTCTCTCCTGCCACTTCTCTTGGCTTGGTGCTGCTGTTTCTTCCTCTTTCTGGCTGAACTTCCTGAGTTCAGCTCCATCACAGGGAAGAATGAGGCACAAAGCCAAGAGGCTGGTTGGCTCAGAAGGTGCCACAGTGGCCCCCTTGTTGCCAGCAGCAACAATTACTGACTGCTCTGCCAGCCCACATGGATATTAGAGGTCTCAGTGGGTAGCAAGAATGTACAACAGGGCTGCTAAGCACGTGAGAGTGCTGGCAACCCTGGAAAAATTAGTCTAAAAGTGCCCAGAGAATACAGGTCTGTGTTTTGAGCAAGTCTGGGAGCTTGAGAAAGAACTGGGTTTGCTGTGTGGTAAACACAAAACTCAGTTTTACCTATAATATGGTTAATGCTTCAATAATATTTGATTACTTCTATAAACGAGATTAACATAGAGTAATCCATTCCACCTGTACAATCTGAATTTGCTCAGGTGTTACTATAAAAATTCACAAGGGAAGGTGTACAGAACAAAATGTGGAGTGCCAAATCAAATGTTGCATTAGGACGTGTTATTCTAGATTTTACACTTGGACTTACTCTGCAGGTTGAAAACGGAATTGCAAGTATGCATGGCATTTTCTGTTACCTGCACACAGGTGATCTGAGCATAAATATATCCTTCTAAAGTTAATTACATTAGAATTTAGAAAAATTAGTATTTGCTAATACAAATTTCTTAGTTTAGCAAACTGTCTCCAGTGCAGCTCTGGTATCTTCATCATAAGACAGTGGACATGATGGTCTAACAAGTCTCATGTCCATGAGGATGCCATGGAATAGCTGGTTAATATGCTGTTACCCTCTAGGATAACTTTAATTGCCACATGATTTTGCTATGTGGTGCTTCTATAAGTTCAGAACTTGGTGCTTTTTTATAAATATATATGCAGAAAATAAAAGAGAGGCAGTAGGCAGCTGGTTGGAACTTATATCTAAACATGGCATTCAAATGTTAATTGTGTGAATAACTCTTTTTCATTTTACAGACATGCAAATGTCAGTAGAATAAAACTATTTGTCAGAGGATGATGATTTCTGACACCTGATAAATGCCAAGATGAAGCTACTTATTGAAAGTGTATCAAAATACTCTGTTTGCCATAAACAAATGCTCATTAAAAATTGACATGCTTATTTTCTAAGTAGTCGACACTAATATCTTGGCATAATTCTAGTGTCACAGGTAAAAATCTGATGCAACAATACCATATAAATGGAGCTCAAGAAAAAAATTAAGGGCCTGTAGGTTACAAAAATGCAGCAAACTTTTATCTGCAGAATTTTACTCCTTAGATTTTTCCACTCTCTCACTATTAATTGGATGTACTTATGCACTAGATAACTCTTCATGGTGTAATTTTGTGGTTTTAAATTAATCTCATCCAAACTTTTGTTTTACAAAATTAGCTTTAGTTTTGCTATTTTACTATTGCATATTAAAGATATGCTTAAGAGCTTTGGCTGGGCATGGTTGTTTCTCCCCATCACAGATGGAAGACCTTTAACTCTGGAGGAAATATGGGGAAGTGTTCATGCATGTTACCAGGATCGTCTGCAGGAGGGGCCCTGGGACACCATCACACAGCAGGTGAGGATCTACTGGTCCTTTACAGAACTTGGGAATGCAGTATATGCTTGAGAATCCTCAGTGGCCTTATTCCTTCCCTGGACACAAGTAATAAATATAAATGTAAAAATAAATACATAAATATGCATAAACACGCGCGCACACACACACACAAGTCTAACTGTGGTTGTGCTTAGCCAGTTACCAGCAATAGTTTCAGTTCTGGTTTTGAAAGGATATATATTTAACGCTTAGTTTGACAGTGTCTCACATTTAGATACTCTTCCAACACCCATCCGTAAAAATTCAGGCCATTTCTGAGTAATCGTGGATTTGGGTTAATACAAAAGTAGACTTATTTATGTAAGTAAAATATATTATTGTAACACTTCACGCGTTGTCTCGTAATCAAATTACCAAAAAATAATATGTGTCATTTTCAGTTTTAAATAGACTTACAGTCCTCAGGACTGAATGAGAGAAAGCTGGTTTCTCATCAAACAATAAGTTATTGCAGTCTAATAGTGAAACATGGTTCAGAGCTGGCTTGGTTGCTCTGATCTCTTCTCTGTTACTCCAGCTCCCCAGTGCAAGTTTGGACCAAGACTAGAGACTCTCCAGGCGTGATTTTTTTTCCCATCAGACCAAAATACCAATGTGTCCTTTACCCCTCCCCTTTCCTTCCTTAATTTTTTGGTTTTAGCTTTTTCCAGGTCTCTTGCCACAGCAGCTGACACAACGGGGATGTGACTTCCACTAAGTTCTACAGGTGTTCCCCTAATTAAAATAATACGGTTTAATTACAGAATGCCTACTTGTAGATGGTACTCAGCCATCTACAGTGGGAACATGAGCAGCATTTTTGTTTTTTGCAGCCATGGACTATTATTTATATTATGACAAACATTGTTTTTCTGGTATTTGCTGTGCATGTCTGAATTCCAGTTGAGAGTTGGCAGATTCTTGTAATACACACTTTTACATAAAGCATTAGTTACCTGGCTTGTCTATGAATGAAGATGAGAAAATTAGGTTTTAATAAAATGATGTAATAATGCGACACTAGTGAGAAAAAGGCATAAACAGTATGTTCAGAATGTGTAAAATCAGAGTGGTGGAAGCCAAAAGGAAAAACAGGTCACTCTCACATGGGGGTTATTTTTGCCTCTTAAGGAACAGTAAAGTAAAAACTGTCCTGCATCTAATAATTGGAGTTTTGTGTAAGAAATATACACACAAATTTTTGCAGAAACAGGGTTTTTGGGTGGCAAGATGTGTGAAGAGATGAACCTGTCTCTGTGACACCTCTCCAGAGGCAGTTCAGCCGCTGTGAATCCAGTGACAAACCTGAACTAAGAGGAAAAAAAAACATTTTGGAGAAATTTAGCAAAGTTATAGCAGCAAAATGTGACTTTCTGTTGAAATAAGGAGATTATGGAAGATAATAAAAACACACTGTAAGCACTAGCCTGCAAGCCTCAGATCAAAGCAAGAGTTAAGTCTACAAGAAAAAGAGGACTTTTCCCCCCTCAGATGAATCAGGGCTCTGAATTGCAATACAGAGCTTTCCCTCTCTGCTTCTCTGCTGACCCATTTTGTTATGTGGGTTAGGCTTTGCCTGCAGGGACACAGATTCTACAATGCAAGTCACTGGGCAGGCTCATCAAATCAGACTTGAACACTCAGTACACATGAACAGCACAGAGAAAAGGTTTAAGGTTTTAATCCAAAACAGATACAGATTTTAAATGGTATAAGCACACCACCACTGGGAGGAAAAATGGAGCTTACCATTGTCCACACATATTACTTAGCTTTTAACTAGGGCTGATTTGTCCTTTGATTGCAGATTAGGAAAAGAAAGGCTTACTGTCTGGTTCTTTTTGTCCTTCCAGATCCAGAATCTTACACTAATCATTTAGGACCTTTATTCCAATGTGTTTTATGAAATGCAAGTGCCATGCCTGTGCACATTTCTGATACAACTATATTTTGGCTTATACCCTCTGTGGTAAAATATATCTGAGATCAGGAGCTGAGACATTGCCTGAACTCCAAAGAATGTAGGTATTTGGCATTTACTGAATTTTAGGTAAAATTTGGACTTTGGTAGTTTTGATTATTGTAGAAAGTCATGCTCATTTTCAGAGAAAGCATCTTTGAATATTTTTACTGACTAGATTACTGGAAAAATCAGAAGTCAGTTACCTTCTCATAAATAAATTAACATGATAAGGTTGCATAGTATTTTATAATGATAATTGATAAATGGTGATGATTTAATTGCACTTCCTCTAGTAATAACCTTAAAATGCTCAAATGAAGTTCCTGTGATTGGCTTTCTTCTGAGGTAAATCTCCCTGGTGCCTTCAGTCATCCCTTCTCTACATCCGGTGATAACTTGCTTTAGCTGTTTTAAAGAATACAAATCAATTAGAACACACAGCTGTTTAACAAAACTTCTAAATGTTGCTACAGGTCTCTGTGGGTGTTTCCTGATGGCTTATAATGACATCAATTTAGCACACCTGGTAAGGTCTGTGTGCACTGGAAGTAGCTTAATTCTGCAATGACAGGAAAATTAAGGAGTATTTATGGATTAATGTTGCCTTCCAGAAATATTGCCAACTGTGGATTTTAACTTCTTTTTACAGATATTCAGAAGTGGAATTGCAGATATTGCATGCCTTTCTCCTGAACAGCTTACTTACAGCTTGGTGGGTGGTTTTAGTGTTAGGTATTTATTTTACTTAGTTATATTAGTTATTTAAATATATTATAAAAATATAATATAAAATATAATATCAATCTTATTTATACTATATAAAGGTATATATATACATATTGCATATACATTACATATATTTATATGTGTATAAGTTATGCACAAATACATAGTGGCATTGTCTCAACAGCTCAAACATTCTGTATGTATGTAATATCCTTCTGTATGTAATATCCACATAAATATCAAGGTATAATAACCCAGTTAAAAAGGCAGCAGCCAGAAAGGACCATGATCAAATGCTAAACGATGAGGCAATTTGAAAGAAAAAAACGTCCACAAGAATAGGAAAAAGGTTGAAAAACAAAGAACAGAGAATAGAGAGCAGAAATGAGACAAATGGGAAAAATCTTCACAATTATAAAGGTGAACATATTTTATCACATGTGCTTGGTGTAACAACCATGATTTAAAAAACAAGGTTAAGTAATGTTTAGTTAATCTATAAAGGCTACATTTGACCTTTTTGTCATTTTGGAAATCTCTGAGGATGAGTGGTAGATGTGAAACAGCAGAAAGTGACTCTGTGGTTGTAGTTAGAGTTTCTGTCTTCAGACTGTGTGGTGTTGTTTGGGTCTTTGCTGTGGAAGTTGGAAATACATTAATTTTTCATCCTCTCTTTGCCCTGATGAATATTTATAGAAGTGCATACAAAGTAGAAGGACCTCAATAGGGGGAGGGACAACACTCAGAGAAAAATGCATTTCTAAGACTGATGAAGCTGAGTTTATTTATTTTATTAATTTTATGTACATACGTGCCCATTTTTAATTCTTGTTACTCATGCTAATCTGTTCATTGATTTTTTTTTCTGAGTGGAAGCAAACCGGCAGGAGAACTTTAAAAGCTGATAAATGAACCTGATCGCAGTCAGTACTAAGTATCACCAACAGTTTTGTTTTTAACAGAGTGATGTTGTCATAAAGTCTGACCTTTCCCTGAGAAAACAAAGTCATAAACACAATCAGGTGTGTGTGCTAACGCTTAATCAATGCTTGGTGATGACAGAATGTAAAATCAAACATCCAAGGGTAGAAATCGAACTTTGTTATTACAGGAGGCTCAAAGGTTGAAAAACTAACCAATAAAACAGAACAAAAGTTTGGTGGCTTGAAGATCCTACAGAAATAGTCTAAAAAACTGTCTAAATAGTCTAAAATCCTGTGAGTCAGGATTCCAGAGGAAATGGAAGTTCCAGAGCACATGTCCATCTATCCCTCCCGTCTTTAACCAGCACTGCTCAGACATTGTTACTTCTGTTATCAACAGCCGTGGGAGGGGGCACATTTCATGTGTCATACCTTGGCTCTGGGCTTGCCAACAATAAACCAGCATTTTACTGGTTTAGCACAGAAGAGGTCATTCAGACCATTCTGACACTGACTGTATCTTAAGTCTCAGAATAGCAAGTGATCGGGAATTTTGCATCTGTTTTTTTTCTCAAGCATTTATTTCTCAGTTTAATCTGAATGAGGTGTTTTTCCATCTGTCATTTGATACTTAGCAGGTAGCTGTAATGTAATCTGTTATATGTCTGCTCTGTCATATAAAAAGTCATCAACCAACCTAAACTACCCAAGTCACAGCACAGAACTGCACTATCTCTGTATTAATCCAGAGTCTGCTCTTTTTCAGTCAGGAGTTAAGAATCTGGAAGACATGTTCTTTATAGTACTTCAATAATCCTGTCCATTACATCACTTAATTTATAGCAGTGTTAACAGAAAAATCAATAAATATTATTTCTAAAATGGCAGGGATGTTAATAGTGTGATTTTAAAAAAGGAGAAAGAATCAAAACTCTGAACAGAACACACTGACATAGTGTTGTAGAGGCACATCTTGCTGGAAATGTGATAGGGAGGATTTAAATAATTTTGAAAAATGTGTGTAGGTCGCTATTCTTAGACATACAAATCTTTCTTGCCATATTGTGGGATTTTGCTAAGTGGGGAAGGCTGTATACAGTATATCTTAACAGAAGGTTGCTAAGACCACTCTTAAATCATTTTGAGTCTTATCAACAGTTGCTATGGATCCCCTGCTAATATTTTTGGAAAATTATTAGTACAACTTCCTGAGAAAAGGGAGTCTTTCAGTGCAGACTGGAAAGCTGTTTGACAGGGAGAAGACCTAGGGGTGGGAAAGCTGGGTGGATATTTATTTCCCACTAAAATTTTCTATGATATGTTGAACTTCTGGGGTTTAAACCAAACTGTAGTACTGTACAAGCTAGCAAGCAGGTTTTATTTTAAAACTAGGCATTAACTAATAATGTTTAGCTGCCCTACAGTGTAATCTTGCTTTTCCCAGTAAGGCTTCATGGACATAAAACCCAGTCCAACTAACTTCAAGGCCTGGTACTATTGTTACTTGAGTCAATTGGTTTTTCTGAAATGAAGGTTTAGTAATATTTTCCACGCAGGTACATAATCAATTAAATGAATGACAGTGTAGTAGTATTGGTTCTCTTGATTATTTCCCATTCTGTAGAAAATGCCTAGCATTTACAGGTAACTTATGTAGCAGTGGTTCTGCTTCCACAGAGGTTTCCAAACAGAGATTTTGTGGTATAAGTTGTAACAGCAACTTACTGTATGGCTCAGCAACTCCTTGTAGGCTAAGGTGGATTGCTCTTGTGTCTTCCCACTGCCATGACCTCTGATAGTTCACTGCTGGAATGAAGCTGGTTACTGAACATTCCCCCTTACTGAATGTTTTTGTTAAAAATTCTGAAATACACAATATGGATTGCACAACATGAAAGGAGTGGATATCATATATGGCACATTCAGCTCCATTTGGGAGGCAACTGAAATGACCAAAAGGCAGTGCAAACTATTTTTTAATTTTATTTACAAAAACATTTTAAGTGCCACTTAAATGGAAGTTAGGTACCTGTGCTAACAGAAAACCATTTATATCTGAGTGCCTGGGCTCTCAAGTGGTGAAGCAGATTGTATGAGCAGTTCAAAAGCATTTAGACAAATTCATGAGACTACTTGTCCGGAAATGGATGCAAAATGACCTCTCAGGAGTGTCCTCCACCATTCTTGGTGCAGATATGCTGGAGCAGTATGATGGGAGTGAAACACAGAGAGACCCCAGACTTGTGTTCTCTCAGAACAGCCTTTCCAACTGCTGCTGTTGGAGATGAGATGTGCTGCTGGAGGGACCATTGGGATTCCTGGGATTCTAAAATGAACCCTTTCAGGGCACATTTGTCAAATGCCACTATGGATTTTTTGTTTTCCTTAAATTATCATTTTTTAATCAGGGTAGGAAATCTGTCTCCAGTGTCTTTTCCGTACTTCCACAGCTTGTTGGATCATTCCATTTTGCACCTTGGATGAATCTCATAACTTAAGAACAGATTTTAAATAGTAATTAATTAAGACTATATGCTACATAACTAAAATGGTGACAACTGAATTAATCTTATTTTGGCAAGCACAGAGGAAGAATCATCTGCTTATTTTCATAGGAAAATGGCTGAGATGCCATTTCTTGACAATGTAACTACAGACCTGCCAATTTTTAACTGTACAGTTTTCTTGAAGAATCCTAAATGCACAAGTTATGTGCTTGTGAGAAGCTTTAAAGCTCTAAAAAAGCCTGTTAAGCTTTAAAAGCATAGTTTTGCCTGAGTATCACATAGTGTTGATTCTTCTTGTTCTTAATGATTCAAACCTTATTATGTATGTATAAAATATATAATTATAGATCAGTTGTGTTGGCTATTCTTGATTACTGTTTTGCTTGTCCTGCATTACCTCTCCTGCCTTTCCTTTGTTAGCTATTCAATACCTTTAAAAAATAATAAAGCTATAAAATGTAAAAAAGAATTACCACCTCTTCAAAACTGTAAGTATTCTAGAATCAGGCAGATTTGGGGGATAAAATTTGAATTATAGAGTCATGGAATGGTTTGTGTTGGAAGGGACCTTTGTTGCAATCCATGATAGATTTGAAGCAACAGGTACAAATTGGTAGGTGTAGTTCATCTCAAAAGAATTCTGGCTATGTTAAGTGTCGTCATGGTTCTGTGTTGTAGGACCTGCAAAAGCACCTTTATTTTCCTCAGAAAAATGTAGCCATTTAATTGCCTTTTCAGCATGGGCTTTGTATTTGATGAAAGAAGGGTAGGATCCAGCTTAATTGGCCATGTGGGGTTGGTGGTAGTAAAGGTATGAATAAAAATTTGTCACTAAAGTTGGTTGGTCTGTCTGTGGGAACTCATGTGGAACAGAGACATTAAATCATCAGGGCAATTGCAACTGCTTGTCTGCAAAGGGTGTAAATCCAATCACTCTGCAGCCTCTTCTGCCAAAGAAAGGTTTAGTAATGACAGCAATTTGCTTTTTTTTGATCTGGTTTGCACTTTTTTGTCTGATCAGGATCCCTTCAAGTTTTGCCTTGCTTGGAGCTGTTGCAGATTTATTTTGATTGTCTAAGAAAAAGCAGAACAATGGTAGTTGCACTTTCACAGTCATTCTTCAGCAGCTGTCGCAGGCAGAAGGAGGTTGTTCCATCTTCAGCTACTGGATTTTATGGGTTCTCTGGATTTTATGGCAAAGTTAGAGAAACATTCCTCAGTAATTCCAGTAGGATGGCTTGGCTTCTGCTTGTAAATTGAAATCAAGGTGACTATAAGTAAGTTACCTGTCCCAGATCAGAGAATCTCAGAGTGGTTTGGGTTGGAAGGGACCTCAAAGTTCATCTGGTTCTACCCCCTAGCATAGGCAGGGACACCTTCCACTATCCCAGGTTGCTCCAAGCCCCATCCAGCCTAGCCTTGGACACTTCCAGGGATGGGGCAGGCACAGCTTCTCTGAAATATCCAGAAAAGTCCCTCACTACCCTCCCAGGGAAGGATTTCTCCCCAGTAACCCTAAGTCAGTAGGAGGGAGAAGCCCTATACAATTAGTATGCTATCAACAGCTTTATTACTATTATTTACATCTTCTATGAGGATTATAATTACAGTTCCTTAACGTTGCATCTGCAGTGTACTGATTCCATGCTAACAGAGTTTCCATTGAAGTAATTCTGTTATAGAAGAAAATCCCTCAAGTTCAACATATTTTAAGTTCCCAGCATGCAGTTACTGTTCTGGTTATGGGACACAGGGTCAGTCTGAAGAGAAAAATCTTGCTACCTTATTTCTGACTGTGTAGAGTTGGATTTTATTGACAAGTAAGTTAGTATTGATGTATATAAAAATAAGTAATGAAAAAGAAGATGACAGACCGCGAATTCAAGAACATAAATTAGTTAGGGTATAATCTTGAGAGAAGAATTTTTACTCAAGACATTTGCTTCAGTAAATGTGGTCAAAAATTGGGAAAAAGGGAAAAGCTTGCATCCTCTTTATTCATTACATCACTATTTCCTTTTGCTACATGGAAGAGATTACAGGAACATATTTTATTAATTATGCCTTCTTTTTCTGATCTGATGATTTGGACTGTGAGAACTGTTGGGAAAATACCTGACATCAATTGACAGAGGCTGTGGTGTTTGCTGCATGAAATTTTTGACTTCCCTCCACAGATTTATTTTTGCAAAGCAGCATCATGCAAACCAGATCAGGACCGAGGCAGTTTCAGGCGCAAATCCCTTGCACTATCATCAGTGGAGAGACCATAAATGTTGTGATGGATGCTCGAAGGCAGTTTAATGTAGCACTGGAGAAAATGGCACAGAGGCCATTACCTCTGGAAGAGCTGCAGTTATGACAGAGAAAATAAATGGTGCTGTTACAGGAGATGTACTGACAACAAAACTTCTGCTGGCTGGGGGGGGAGAGCAGGATACTACACACAATGACCTGTTACTTGAAATGATGTTTATTTTTGGTTTAAATCTGATGTGGAGACTGCTTGATAAAGTGATGTAATCCAGTCTGACAGAAGTTTTAGTCTTAATTAGACTTGTACTTGGGAGCTGCCCAGTCTTTGCTACTGTTGAGATTCATGTCTTGACATTTCCCTACTCACCACCTGTGCATGGAGGGTTGTACCTGCACAACTGGGGAACAGGGAATGCTGTGCTGTCAGAGGGCAGGGTTAGATGGGATATTGGGAAGAAGTCCTTCCCTAGATGGGTAGTGAGGGACCAGAATGGGTTTCCCAGAGAAGCTGTGGCTGCCCCATCCGTGGAAGCATCCAAGGCCAGGTTGGACAGGGCTTGGAGCAACCTGGGATAGTGGAAGGTGTCCCTGCCTGTGGAAGAGCGTGGGACTGGATGGACTTTGAGGTCTCTTCCAACCCAAACCATTCTGTGATTCTATAATTCATTTTCAGACTGCCCAATGAAACATTTCATGTCTCTCATCCATCTCTCTCTTGCAAGTTTTTTTTTTTTTATGGGAGGAGGTGAGGTAACAGCTACAGAAACTGGTACAGAACGTCCTTACAGATCTAGAAGTCACCTAGTAAAGAAGTCTTTCTACAGAAAATAAATGAAACAACATTTTGGGCTTTCAAACTCAACAGAATTAGTTCCTACCTTTGAAAATATTCATTTCCTATCAAAGCTGGGTCAGACTCAGAGGGATATGCAGATATGTGATGGACTCCAGCATGCAGTGCTGAGCTAGCAGAGTTATGAATCATCCTCACAGGTAGAGAGATCCAAAATCATAGACAGATCCAGGAGAATAATGCTGCTGATTTCAGATAAACTGTCTGTCAGTGTATTACTGCCCAGAAGAGTTGTGGGCAACCTGCAAATGAGTTCTTGCAGTACAGTGCAGAGAATACTTGCGGGAATGGCGTTGTAGCACCCTACACTGCTACATCACCGATTGGAAAAAGATTAATTGTAAACTAAAAATGGGAGGATTCTTTTATACTGTTTGTACTGGGGTTTTTTTTGCATAAAGTCCCAGTAGGACTTTATAGTTTTCATGTGTCTGGCCCACAGATCAGTGTAGATGAAGGGTATTATTGCTGCCCTAGTATTTTGCCCAGGATACATTTCACTGCATGTGGAGTGTCATAGTTCCACCAGGTGACTGCAGTAGGTACTAAATATGCTCATGAAGCTGATGCAGCACAAACTTTTGTTCATTTTCACATTTTTTATGGTGTTTGGGAAGGACTTGGGGTTCATCCCTCTGCAGACACCCAGCCCTCTCTCAGGGCAGTAATTAATGGCACTTTGAGTGGCAGTTGCCTGTCCAGATATTGTATAATAACGAGCCCTGGCTGGTCAAGCCCAGACCAAACCTGAGCAGGCTCTGCAGCCTGTTACTAATTCTGAAATCATCCAGGGCTTTGATAACTCCTGCATTTTTATTGGCACCTGCTCAGTGCTTCCTCCTCAGCGCTGCTGTATCAGTGATTTAACCTTGAGTGTACATTAAAGCCTCCCGGGGATGCCATTATGTACAGGATTTGGAATTCAGGATTTGACTGAATCAGAGCTGATGCTCTCAGAGTGTTTCCCTGGTGCTCAACAAGCTCTTCTTCCCTGCCTCAGCCTTTTCCCTTTTTAGAGGCTCCTCCTTAATGGGTGTTGGCTCAGTATTTCTTTTAAACTCCTGTGCTTTTGTGGTTTTCCTCTCAGTGTGTGACATTTTCCTGTCTTTGGAATAGCATAGAACTCTTGAGTTCGGGAGTTTTTTCAGTGTCATTCTTGTCAAGTTGTGAGAGGAGGAAGAACTGAAAGAAGAAAGAGGTAGAATGTAAATTTAATAAGCTGTTTTGAAAAGTCAAGTCAGCCTCCATGTGTCACTCGCTAGTGATTTGCTGAAGCAAGAAGTGCAAGATGGAATCAAATACGAGGGGGCAGGTTGGGATAACTTCAGGATTAATATTCAGCTTTGGGAATTATCTTTATGCCTTGTTCAGAGTGCTAAATCACTTAAAGCTCAGGTTACATTCTTTGTTCTTTTTGGGCATGTGTGCTGCCTTTTTACACTCTTTCCTTGTGTAAGGGAATTTGCTGACATTTTTGCACAATTTACTTTTTTTTTCTTTGCTTAACAGTTTTGTAAATATTGTCAACTATATATTTTTTTATTATCTTTAAGAAATACCATTGGCACAATCTATATATTCTCTGGAATTATTTGGAGATCTAAGCTGTTTTGAGCTAGGAGATAATGAAAAGGATTTTTTAATTCAAACTAGCAGTTTTTCTCAATGGAAAACTGCATCAACAATTCACTTTTACCAACAGTAGATGGTAGTATTCTTGTGCAGATTATTTGTTTGTGGTGTAAAACAAAGCTTTTTGAATATTATTTTTTTGTATATCCTGAAGCTTCTTGAAGTCTTTTTCTCTTAGACATAAAATGATTGATCCTCACAAGTATATTTTCAGCATAAGAACCAAATGTCCTTCAGCTGTAATAGTTTAATTTTTAATAGTATCAATAGTTCAACAGTTAATAGTATTAAAGATGTCCTACCTGCTGAAGATGACTGGTTAGGATTTGGGTTTTGTTTCTAGGCAAGGGGTTGGAGAAAGATTTTCTCCCGTGTGACACGAAGACTTTGAATCCTCTCTTCTGTGCCAGAAATTTACTATGTGCTAAGGTAAAATGCCACCACAGAACTCAGGGAGTCTGGCTGCAGCTGGACAAGGGAAATCTGTGCCAGAGCATAAATGCAATATAGATAAAAATTTAAAAATAAAAATATATATAATAAAGAAATTACATATATAAAAATAAAAAAATATTTCCCAGCACCAGTCTGAGAAGATACAGGAGCTCAAGGTTGTTGAAGTGCTTTTCTACTGAGAGGATTGGTTTTATGTATTACACTTGATCAGACTCTCGTTTACACAGTAGCTTTGCCTCCTTGCATTCAGGCAATGCTGCTTCAGTAACTTGAGTTTAACTAAAATAGTGGCACAGTCTGGTTGGTGATCTTATTTCCCTTTTAAGAGTGGAGAATATATATTAATTAGCATACAATATATATAGTATATCTTAATTTGTCATGACCATCAGTGGAAGAGCAACGTGGGTTAGATTCTGAAGTGAGAAAAGGTGCATCAGGGATTAATTGGACCCTGCTCTGTCTTTTCCAAATGCATGTGGTGTGTATTTTCTGTTTTTTTCCTTCCATAATAAAGCAGCTGATCTTTCCTCCTAGGAGCACCCCATCCTTGGGCAGCCCTTTTTTGTTCTGCACCCCTGCAGAACTAATGAATTCATCTCCACTGTGCTGACTGGCCCATGGAAACACAACAGGTGAGAAGCACAACAGGCGAGAGGCACTGCTGAGCCTTGCAAGGCTTTGTGCAGTGCAGGTAAAGTAAATCAGCTGAGGAGTGAAAATAGCCAAAACAACCTCCTTGGTCTAAATGTTTCTGTGTTGTCACAGAAAGTTAAAATATATTTGCTATTGATAAAGTGAAGGAAGTAATCTGAAGTTATGACTGTTGAGTCTGTCTGCAATTCAGAAAAAGTTGGAATAATATATTTATGATGCTTTTTTGTGTTTTTTTTTCCCCCTAGGCACAAAAATTACATTATTCTGTGGCTCAGTACTGTAGGCCCAGTTGTGGGTCTCAGTGTGCCTCTGAGTTATGCAAAAGTAGCACCTGAGCAGAATTCAAGCACTGATTCAGCTGAAAGGTAAGAGAAAATGAAACCACCTTTTCCTCTCCCATCCTCCTGTTAGAAAGATCTGATGGATAACTGCCAGAACCATTACCTTCTCCTTTGGAGCTCTTGGGCCAGTTCACTTCTGGACTCACCTTCCAGTATTTTGCTTACCTTCCTTATTTTGCAATGAGAATTTGTGCTAAGAGAGAAGTGCTTGGACATTGCTGACACCCTCCATGAATGCCAGGAGGCCCCTGATGTCCTGTGGTCTTCCTCAGGTGTGTGAAAATGCAGTTGGTGGTGTGATCTGGCATAACTGCTGCAAGGATTTCAATTTAATCTGGTTTTTTTTGTGATTGACGTTTCCTCTCCAGAGCTCTGAACTGATGGACAGGTGATGGTGAGCTGCTGCAGGCTCCCCTCGGGGTGAAGTCAAAGGGATCCTTCCTGGCTGGTAGACAATGCCGGTGTGGAAATGATTGTTCACGGCTCTTTCTCTGGCAAGAAGTGGTCAGAGAATTACAGTGGAAGACTTAATTGTTGGCTGCAGTTGTGGCAACACCTCTGCAGCACCACCAAGACCTGAACTCCCTTGTGACTGCATTAGCCCTTGAAGTCATTTTTCTACCACCTCCTGTGCTTGTGGCCTTGGAGAGGCTGCACAGAGAGGCACAAGCCTGTGGTTCCTTAATAAAGGGTAGTGTTGCTGGGTTTGGATCTACTAAAAACTATCTCTAGAAAACCTGTGAGGTGGCAAATGCAAAACATACACAGCAAAGTGCCTGTGGGACGTGGTGTGAGCTTGTGGCACCCAGTGCATGGGCTGAGACTGCTTCACCTGGGAACCACCTTCTGCACCACAGCCTGAGGGATGGACCCCCTCATGTCCCACACCACACGGAATCCTCATCCTGGGACTGAGAAACGCTTCTCTGAGAATATTGCAGGGAACAAACAGGATCGGAATTGTAACAAACAGGGAACTTGGAGCCTCCCTGTGAGTGAGCACCTTCAGTTCTGGAGTTCAGGTGGCTGATGCAGCTGTGTGAGAACATCTGGCTCTTCCATGGCCTGCAGAGGAAGCTCTGCCATTCCCTGTGGGAATGACTGTTCCACTCAATTAGTGTTTCTCATTGTACTCCTGGCTGTTCACAGGTTTATTCCCTACCCTGCTGTTTGGAGAGTTGCATGGTGGTGCTGCCACTGAAAACCACATTGCAGGTAACTTCCACACAACCCATCCTGGCTCCTCTTCCCATCTCATTTTATTTGTAGTGTAAAACAGAGCCCTGGGATGGAACCACAGGTTTTACTTTACACGTTCAGCAATGTGTCACTTGCACCTAGAGCCCAGTGTGTGCCACATGAGGGCTGGGAACCTGGTATGCATCAGGTTCCAGATTCTAGGCTTTAAACTTACATCATGTGTCTTTATTGGACAAGAAATACAGAGTGCAGTCTCTAAAATTCCATTGGTGTGAATTGTTTTGCCAGCCATTTGGAATTAATAATGAAAGCACATCATTTATCTTGTTCTGGATCATAACAACCTGAAAAAGCCATTTTTCCATGTGAGATTTATAAAATGCAGCCAACAGCTAAGTTGCTTTTTTTAACACTTCTGATAGCACATGCTTGGTAATTGCATCAGTGGCCCACTTTTAAATTTCAGCGAGACTTAAACAGGAGGAAAAACCAACAAAAAACAGATAACAGCAGTTTTAAGAGCTGCTAAATGTTCTTCCCTGCTCTGTGATCTTCATTTGTGATACCCTGGAACAGAGGAGTGGGAGCAGCCAGCCTTCAAAAAGTGGAATTTGTATATGGAGGGAAGTAAATATTTTTTCTCTTACATGGAAAAAGTCTCAGTGACCATTCTCACTGATTCTAAACCTCTTAACAGCATAAACAACAAGGTAACAGAGCAGTGTCATCATCAGCAGCAATATTTCTCTGAAATTTCTCTAGAAAACCAAAATTCAGCTCAGTTACAGATACACTGAGCTTAGATAGAGGAAGAAATACAGGATAACATAAATATTTGTGATTGAGAAGAGATCCTGTTTGGATGTCTCCTTTTTAATGGCTGAAGTAGGTAATTGGGAGGTAGGGACCCAATTTACTGTTTTACATTTATGCTTTGATGACTTAGGATATTTTTAACAGAATTTTTATGTACCAAAATTCTGATTTTTTAAAATTTTTTAAATCAAGTGAATTGTGGCACTGTTTTGTGATTTTACTTACCAAATCTGATGAATATTCTTACATCTGAACTTGGGGTTTGTCTACATGCGTTATCTGCTTACGAAGAGAAAATTTCCAGTTCCAGAGAGTTTTGTACATTTGCTCAGTTGCTCATCCTTGCTAATCTGGGAAGATACATTGAGAACCTTTGCTTCTGGGGACTTCTTTGAAGAGAACAGACTCTTGTAACCCTTGGTTACAGGAATCAGCAATAATTATTATTTTTATGTATTCACTTAAGCCAAAAAATGTGTTTTCCTGTGTAATGCAGCTGCTCACTTACCTACATAATCCTTCATTTGTGTCAGCATGACCAGGTAAGAATTCAACCTCCTGCTGGGAGGTTTGAGATTGGTTGGTTTTGGTTACTAACAGGAACATTCCTTTCCATGCAGTAAATGTCAAACTAGTTAGTTACAGCTAAGTACAGTGATGTAATCAATTCTTGTTGTAACTCCATGAATTTCACCAAAACTGTCTCAGTAACTTTTTTCCCCCCCTTTTTGCTGTGGTGATGGTTTCATGAGTTTGTTTGGACATCTGTGTTTATATTACATACATGTAAATTCAATACCAGCACAAAGAAAGGATGTTTGCTCTTCCCTCTGAACGGTGAACTTAAAATTGTTTCCTCAAAAATTCTCTCTTCTAGAGAACAGTGTGTGTATAAGTATCTGTGCCTGTTTTTAGTAACATGGGCTTTAAAAGTATTTCAGTGAGTTTAGAGTATTTCTTAGCAGTAAATTCTTACCACCTAGAATTAAAAAAAACCTTACCTGAAGCTCACAGCTGCAAAACTAACCCTATATTAAGTGCTCAGGAAGGTGTCAGACCTGTTATCTCTGTGTTCTGGATTATATTAAAATCATAAAAAATCCTGAACTATGAGAAATCTTTCTCTCCACTACTTCAGAGCTTGTTGTAGCTGTCACCTACTGAAGATGAATTCAGCTTAAGGCAAGATAGGATTTTACTGCTGTGTTTGAGCAGAGGATGGATTTACAGGACACCTTCTTTTTCTTCAAGCCTGTTGGAAAACTGCATCTTTTCCTGCAGTAATGTTATTTTTCAGTCAGGTATTGCTAGTGTCAAATGATTATCCAACTGCTTTATTATTAGAAAATATTAATTAGCTTTGCTGATGAAGAAGGAATGGGGACAGCGGTGTCTGTTGCATGAGTTGCTTGTCTTCTCTGATCTTTATGGATGGATTCCTCTCTGTTTTGGAGGATATGGGTTATGTAACACATATTTATTAGGCTTAAAACCCCTCTAATAGTGACGTGATGATGAGGTTTTGCTCAGCTCGTCTTCCTCTGACTTCTTTCTGCAGTGTCTAGGCAACACAACATATTCCTGAGCACTGAAACAATCACAGAATCCCAGGCTGGTTTGGGTTGGAAGGGACCTTAAAACTCATCCAGTCCCACCCCCTGCCATGGGCAGGGACACCTTCCACTATCCCAGGTTTCTCCAAGCCCTGTCCAACCTGGCCTTGGACACTTTCAGGGATGGGGCAGCCACAGCTTCTCTCGGCAACCTTTGCCAGGGCCTCACCACCCTCACAGGGAAGAATTCCTTCCAGTATCCCATCTAATCCTGCCCTCTGACAGTTGGAAGCCATTCCCCTTTGTCCGGTCAATCCAGGCCCTTGTAAACAGTCTCCATGTTCCTTGTAGCCCCTTTAGGCACTGTAAGGTCACCCCAAAGCTTCTCTTCTCCAGGCTGAACAATCCCAACTCTCCCAGCCTTTCCTCGCAGCAGAGCTGCTCTATCCCTCTGATCATCTGGGCATCTCCTCTGGACTCACTCCAGCAGCTCCATGTCCTTGCTGTGCTGGGCCCCCAGGGCTGGAGGCAGCTCTGCAGGTGGGGTCTCACCTGAGGGGGCAGAGGGGCAGAATCCCCCCCTGCCCTGCTGCCCACGCTGTGGGATCAGCCCAGGGCATGGGGGGGTTCTGTGCTGGGCCTCTCCCCCACTAGCACCAAGGAAATTTTCCAACTTGAAAACTCGCCTATGTGGCTGTGGCTCCACAGGGCACGAGAGCTGGATTTGGTTGAATTTTGTTTAAAAAAAACCCCAACAGAATAAAAGACGCAAATTCAACCAAACCTGTGCTCTTCTCTTCCCTGTTCCCGCCCCAGGATTCCGGGTGAGTTCACCCCAAAACCTCTCTTTCCTCTGTGGAGCCGCAGTTTGGGTGTGCACACGGTGAATTTCCCAATTTTGAAGATTTCCTTTGTTCCCAGTCCACAACTTTTTTAGCTCAAACCTTTTTCTGTTTTGGTTTTTCCCCTTGTACCAGTCGCGACATCTAGTGGCGACATGACATCACGACAGCGCCCGACTTGGGGAAGCTGCTCTAGCTCCCTTTGAATCTTCCTCTTTTGGAAGAAGGGTTGACAGTTTTGGTTCCCCCGCCAAGGAATTTTACTGGCAGCCCCTTTTGCTACACAAATGTCAGCAAAGACCTTGAACCTGTTCTTAGATTGTTACTCCATTTTCATGGAAGGTATTGAATTTTCATATAAATTTCTATATAAATGAATGAACACTAATTGAAGCATTTGAACCTTTTGTTTAATACACAGATGAATTGCGATGGCAACAACAGAATTGTTCACACTCTGACTTCAGTCACATATTTTGAGGGTTTACTGCACTGAAAAAAACCCCAAAAATGGTTTTTATGTATTTTGTCTTCAGTAAGAAGGCAGAAAGCCCAGCTCACGACACCCAACTGCACAGCAGTAACATGTTGAGAGTGCACTGAATGGGTGCCTTCAAATCGGGCAGCCTTGCCCAAAAAAACCTGTTAATTTGTGCTCAACACTGGGTGAAATTGTGTGGGCCAAGGCTGGATGTGTGGTTCAGTAATCCCTTCAGGACTCAAACGTAGCAAGTTCTCTGTTCACACCAGGAACCAGAACTGCTGCCACGAACACCATTTCTAGCACTCCCAGTGACCATTTTCGATGTGGGGAAGTCTCACATTTTTCACAGTTATGCATTAAAATTCATGGAGTTTCTCCTCCCTCCCAGCTTGCTCCAAGGGATGAATGATCCTGATGAATTCAGTAGTCCCAGAGAGACATTAGGGTTTGGGGTGTTTTTTTTTGGCCAGATGTAGAAATAAATATAATTTTGGTTTCTATGGGTAGAGTTTTATGACTGACTCCAGCCCTCCTCAGTAAGAAGCACAGAACTCATTCAGAACAAAGGATTTTTTATTGACCATCTTGTCAAGACATGGGTTTATGATCTTGGTCTCTCCTTCTTGCCCTTGTACAACGCCAGCAGGGACACATTGGCCACCTTGACCACCTTGAAGCGGACCCCTGGGATGTCCCCAACGGCGTGGCCCTTGCGCCCGAACCCAGCCACCAGCACCTCATCGTTCTCCTGCAAAAACCAAAACCGGGGCATGGGGAGCACAAATATCAGATCCGTGCACAAATCTGGGATTAACCACCCTCAATTTGGGCTATGCTCCACACTGCTCTTGTCTAACCACCCCAGATCAAACCTGCACACATTAAATGAGAATTAACAGAGTAAATGTCTTTATTTTCCACTGCGAAATACAACTTCTAGATGAATTACCTCAATGAAGTTCAGGCAGCCATCGTTGGGGACAAAGGCTGTGATTTTTTTGCCGTTCTTAATCAGCTGGACCCGGACACATTTCCTGATGGCAGAGTTGGGCTGCTTGGCTTCCACTCCACTGCAATGGAAATAAGTCAGAAAACCCCCATCTGTTTGATGGACCAGGAGGTTTGTTACACACCCACAAGTTACTGTTTTCCTTTGTGTTCAGTGTAAGCTGATTCTGTACTTCAGAAACTCTGAGCTGGTTAGAGCCACTCAATATATGAATATAGAGTATTTAATTACTATATAAAAACTCCATGTATCATTATATAATGTATTCTCTATAATAAATATATTTAACATATATCAATATATCGACCACCACTTCCTATGCAGAGTAAAATTTTAATCACCTACAGACTAATACTAATTCAGTAAAATCCTGAAAAAGCATAAAAGAGGGGAAAACCTCCCAAAAACTAGAAAACACTGGTCAAAAAAGAGAGCACTTGCAGCATCCCCATGAGCCTTCAAATTATTAAAGGGAACAAAATCTCCCAGAAGTAGGTAGGATCTTTGACACAAGACATACAGTTTTTCTTAATGTTGTGCCAAACCCCTGACTTTTCTGAATTTATGAAAAAAAAAAGGGCACTTTTTCTTTAAGCTTTGACTAAGTTCCCCATTTCCCCCCCACTTTTGGAAAAATTTTAATTTTTTTCTCCAATTTTTTCCAATAAAAACATATTTTTCCCTTATTTTTTGCTTAAGATCCCTATTTTTTACCAATTTTTGAAAGAAATTCCCGTTTTTTCCTATAATTCTTAAAATTAAACATAAATTAATTCTGGTTTTTTTCATCTCAGGACAGGAGCTGCATCCAGGGGGTTCTAGAGCCCCATCCCGGGGGTCTCAGCGCCCAATTCCGGGATGCTGGACCCTTATCCCAGAGACTCTGTACCCCCATCCTAGGGGCTGTGGACCCGGAGCCCGTTTGTGCACCCACACTTTCTCGAGGACGATGCCTTTAGCGTGGGAGGCGCCGCCGAAGGGGTTGGCCTTTAATGCCGTGCCCAGGTGCGCCTTCTTGTATTGCTTGTCGTGCCACTTCTGGTCGCGGCGGTGGCTGCGCAGCTTCCGAGCCGTGCGGAGGCCTCGGCACTTCCCTGCAGGAGGTGAGCAGAAGGGAGGATGGTGAGGGGAAGGAGGGTGAGGCGGGCCAGGCCGTGTGACGCAGTGGCGGACATGCGGCGGGTAATGGCGGCCGCGGCCCCACCGCCCTCAGCGCTGTCCGCACAGCACCCACTCGGCTGCGGGCGGGCGGGGAGTGCAGAGCCCCGCGGACCCTCCCTGGGATCCCGCAGCCCCAAACGCAGCCCCAAACCCAGCTCCAAGCCCGCCCGCAGCCTCGGCCTCGCTCCCCGCGCTCACCCATCCTCTCCCTGCAGCTGCCGAGCGAGAAAAGAGGGAGGAAGGTCCGCGACCGCCGCCTATAGCCGCGCCCGCTAGGACCTGCCGCGGGCTGCCCGCGCCGCGCCTGACGGAAACACGCCGACCGGCACCGTGGCGGGCAGCCCGGCCGGAGGTGGAGGCCGCGGGTTCTAGACCCAATCGGGCGGACGGGCAGGACTTGCCCCTCCCTCCCCGCGGCGTTCGAGTCCCGTTTTGATCTAGAACCGGGAGAGAAAATTTTGAGACCAGTCTGAGCTTAAAAAAAATCACTGCTTTATCCCCGGGGGCACCTCCCTGCCTGTCGTCCACACCAAGATGCACTTCTGCACCTTATGTATAATTTGTTCCATGAATATCTGTTTACAGTCTCAGGAGTTCACGCCTATTCCAAAACGCCTTATCCATATGCTGATTAATTAATTGCATGGGGCTTATTGCTCATGTTCGGGATGGGGTCTCTAGTGGTCGTTTGGGATGGTACCAGAGCTTGTTTTGTCTTTACTTGCTCACAAGGACGAGTCGAGGTTGGGCCTGGTTTTATCTTGTTAGCTGTACCAGGGGAACCAGTGTCCGACCCACAGAGAGGGACTGATGATTGATCTCTACCTGAAAAGACCACCATGAGGTGGGAGTCAGAGTCTCCTTGCAGGTAAAAAGCAACAGGACAAGGGAAAATGTCCTCAAGTTGCACCAGGGGAGCTTTAGGTGGGATACTGGGTTGTCTATCCCTAGCACAGCTGCCCAGAGCAGGGGGAGAGTCCCTATCCCTGGAGGGATTTAAAAGCCTTGTGGATGTGGCACTTGGGGACGTGGGTCAGTGGTTGCCTTGGCAGTGCTGAGGAATGGTAGCAGTCAATGGTCTGAGAACACTTTTCCAGCCTAAATGACTCTATGAGTCTTATTTCCAGCTTTTCATAGATTCCCAGAATGGTCTGGGTTGGAAGGACCTCAAACCTATCAGTCCCACCCCCTGCCATGGTCAGGGACACCTTTCACTATCCCAGGTTGCTCCAAGCCCCATCCAACCTGGCCTTGGACACTTCCAGGGATGGGGCATCCCAGCTTAAATTGCTGCATTGCCTGTGAGTCTTCCAGTGGATCTGCACCAAAGTGAAGTCCTATAACATAAACCAGCTCATATTTACTGATTTTGAAAGTTGCCGGTAGTCCATGCTGCCAAACTGCACCAATCTGTGTTCTGAACATTCTCTCCCCTTTTTGGAATTATTGTGAAGGGATAGCAATTAGAGCTTAATACATCTTTATTAAGACATCCTGTGCTCACAGCTTAAATAGAAAATACGTATTTTGTGTGTTCAGGTAGGACTGGTTTTACATGCAATCTGTATAGAATAACTAATTAAAAAAAAATGAAAACCACCCCCCAACACACACTCCCCTCAAAGAAAAAAAGAAACCGACCAATCCCAAACAAAAACTGTAAAACCCACCAACAATTTTAGAAGAAAACATTACTATTATAAAGAGCAGCTCTTGAAGATGCAGTTCCAATGTCGGAATGCTGTTGCTGTTTGGTGATTTTAAAAACAGGGAAGTTTATATTGTAAAAATGCTGCAGCTTTGCTTTTCAGTGTTAGGAATATTAGGAATACTTAAAAGCTGACTGGAAGGAAGGAAAATGATGTATTTTAAACTTTATGAGGTCTTTGGGGCATTTTTAAGACACCTTTTCTTCATTCCACCATGTTCTGGTTTAACCCCAGCTGGTAATTAAACACCACGCAGCCTCTTGCTCACTACCCTGCCCATCGTGGTGGGATGGGGAGGGAATCTGGACAAAAAAGACCTGTGGGCTGAGATAAGAGCAGTTTAATAATGGAAATAAACTTGTTGTGGTTCTTAATAATAACAACAACAACAACAATAATAACTATTAATAATACTAACACTAATATAATAATAACAATAACAATAACTATAATAGTTAAACACAATGGCTGAGATGTGCTGGCACAGGTGGCCACAAGACATGTCCCTGGAAGGTGTCCCTGCCCATGGCAGGAGGTTGAAACAAGATTATCTGTGGGCAGCTCTGTGGAAAAGGGCTGTTTGCTCAGGAGAACACCAGCCCTGCTGGATAAGCACTTCTAAAATTAAATGTTTCAGTTGGCCCAGCAGATAAATCCACCAAAAATCCCACCACTTATCTTAAAACTCTCAGTATAATCTGATCTTCCCTGTGGGATCTGATACCTGGTGTCCTGTGGTACTGCATGACGAAAGACAGCTGAGTCCTGAACAGAGTGAGCTTGGTCTTTTTTTTTTTTTTTTTTGTGCAGTTTTCCCCCTGTGCCTTCCTTGAAGGTAAAGTCAGACCTGGAGTCTGTATGGAGGTTTCTCAGGCTAGGATGGAATCCTTTGGGGATATTGTGAAGGGCACAGGGAATAGAAGGGAATTAGAATCTCAGAATGATTTGGGTTGGAAGGGACCTTAAAGCCATGGGCAGGGACACCTTCCATTATCACAGGTTGCTCCAAGCCCCATCCAAGCTGGGCTTGGACACTTCCAGGGATGGTGCAGCTACAGCTTCTCTGGGCAACCTTTGCCAGGGCCTCTCCATCCTCACAGGGAAGCAGGAAAGAATTTTAACAGGACTAATTTCTGCATCCCACCCCAGAAGAAAGCTGAAAGGCTTTTTGGCCCAATCAGTTGCCCAGAGAGAGGATTTTGTTCGAGCTGAGAAAAGTTTCATGTTTTAAGGTGAATTTTCTGCCCATATTCTGTGAATATGTCTGAATCAGAGGAACAACGATGACTCAGACTGAAAAGGTGAGTGATACATTCAGTGCTGACACTTGTAAGGTGTCTGATAACTCATACATTGCTTGAGACATGTTAATATAGAAAGCTACTCAGCTCATGGTGGCCTGACATGTGAGCTGGAAAAGAGTTTGTGTGCCCGAAGAGCCAATGCTCACAACCTTCACCAAGCTGTGAGCCTCCATGCTGAATATAATCACTTTGAAATGAGTATAATTACCTTTTCTGAGAGGTAGATCCCAAAAAAAGGAGCAGTGTTTAAAGTACAGTATGGTCTGCTGTGCCTCCTTCTTGCTGGAGGAAATGTCTGAGCTGCCTCAGTGCTAAATGAACAACAAAGAAATGATACCTTGCTGCCTAATCATTGAAGGAGGAGTTTTGCATGAGGAGTAATCAGAAGCAAAATCTCCTTGCAAAGTGAGGGGGAAAAAAAGGTGACAAACAGAAGTTTAATCCTCTTATGTGGAATACTGACCCCTTTTAGCCTGCCATAGCCTGCCATTGTAGGCTGTAAACTTAACTGTGGTGACAGGACAACAGGAAACGGCCTCAAGCTGTGCCAGGGGAAGGTCAGGAGGAATTTTGTCCTGGAAAGGGTGGTCAGGCATTGGAAGGGGCTGCCCAGGGAGTTGGGGGAGTCCCCATCCCTGGAGGTGTCCAAGGATGTGGCACTCAGTGTTCTGGGCTGGGTGACAAGGTGGTGAGCATCTTTAAGAACTGTATCAAATGTTTAATATTATTGTTGCTATTATTATTATTGGCAAGTGTCAAGAGGCAAGAAAAGACTTTTCTTTCCTTCTACCATTATTTCAGAAGATTGCTGGTGAATGATTTGCTATCAGCACCCATTGTATTAATGTATTCAACCTGCGTCTCAGGAAGTCTTCCCCATGTCTCCAGTGGCGAATCAGAGATCAAATCAGTCCAGCAGTTTAATTACCTAGATAGCATCATCTCCTCGGATGGTAAGATTGACGGAGAGATAGACAACAGGTTAGAAAAGGCATATAGAGCTTTTGGAAAGCTCCGTGTAAGAGTTTGGCGAAGTAAACACCTGAAGAAAAGTACCAAGATCAGTGTTTACAGAGCCATTGTGCTGTCTACTCTTTTATATGGGTCCGAATCATGGGTCATTTACCTCCACCACCTGTGACTCCTAGAACGCTTCCATCAATGCTGTCTCCGTACAATCCTAAACATCCACTGGTCAGATTATGTGACCAATACATCTGTTCTAGAACAAGCAGCTGTCACAAGTATTGAGGCCATGTTGCTGAGAACACAGCTGCTTTGGGCAGGACATGTCTCAAGCATGAAGGACCACTGCCTCCCTAAGATCTTGCTTTATGGTGAACTTGCCACTGGCTGCTGCAAGAGAGGAGCCCCAAAGAGAAGATACAAGGACTCCCTGAAACAACATCTCAGCCTTGGCCACATTGATCTTCGTCGCTGGTCTATTCTGGCCTCCAATCTGGAGGTCTGGAGACACACCATCTATAACACTCCTGATGCCTTTGAGAATGCACACAGGATCATTCTCAAGGAGAAAAGACAATGCAGAAAGAGCCGTGTCTTGCTGATACCACCTAAGGAGTCTTTCTGCTGTGCCTTTTGTAACCGGACTTGTCTATCTCGATTGGCCTCTTTAACCACCAGCACGCTTGTAGCAAATGTGAGTAGAGTCCTTCCCAAATCTTTGTTCGCAAAGCCTAGCCATGATAATGATGATTAATGTTTACTGATGAAATCAGTATATTTTCCATTGATTTATTCTGGTTTAACCTATGTTAGCAGTTTGGTGTTACTTGTTTTCTGGATTGCCTGCAAATCCCTCCTTTGGTTCTGAGCAAACTGACATTATTTTTCATTTTGTTGATGACGAGTGCCTTTTCTCTCCACTTATTTAGGAGTGAGGAGTACTGAGGCATTAAACAGGACTGTGACATCAATGACTTCACAGTTTTTAGGAGTGTGTGACACTTCTGCCTCTTGAAATTTTCCTCTGAGCCCTGTCTCCTTACTGGAGTAACTGTTCAAAGTTTAGCATCATACATTCATGGTACTTCACAGAAAATCTGGAGGTTATTTTCAGGTGGTTCTTGCTTAATCCCGCATTCCCTCATCCCATTTTTCAATCTAGGATTCTCACATAAGTATCTTTATTCCTTCTTAAATTGGATAGAAGCAGTACTGCTGAGGACAAGCTGCTGGGAGGTTTTTAAGATTAGCGGATATACCCTCTGTATCCCAGAGGGAGAAATGAATTAAGATGGCAAATCCTTCCTAATAGCTATGATGCTAAAGCCCCAATCTTTTTCTTATATCTGGAATGCAACAGACATGAACTCCTAGTTAGCAAAGTGAGGCTTCAGTGGTCATCACATCAACAGGTAGCAAGGAAGAAGTAGATGTCTGGGTATGTATATACCTATAGATTGGTATATGACTGTGTCCTGCCTGATATTTAAGGGTTTTGGAATGAGGTGATCTTTAAGGTTCCTCACAACCCAAACCATTTTGTGGTTCTGAGTATAAAAACAATTGAACCAGAAAGCTAAACACACACACAAACTGAAATAGTGCTGAAGAAAAGAAAATTGCTTCCAAATGTTTGACTTCAAAGCTTGCAATATGCATCTTCACATCTGTATGGTTACTAATATAAGGTACTGTAAGTCTTGAAAATACATGTAGTTCTTCCTCTGATTATCATATAGAAGGAGAAGTTTCAGAGCTGTTTGTAGGCAGCACCTTACCCTTTCTCTGAGGCGAGGGTTAGGTACAGATGAGGAATGCTCTGCAGTGTGATTTCAGAACCCATCTGATTGTATTCTTTTTTTTCCTTAACAAGCAGCTCACGTCCCGGCGCACTTTCCCCGGGTTGTGTGCTCATTTATTCACAGGGCAGCTGGAACGTGCCAGGTGTTTGCCTTGGGGAGAAATCCCAGCACACGGAGGATTTCTCCGGTGGTGGATCCTCCCCCATCACGCGGCAGAGCTGGACCAGAGCCGCAGATGTGCCGCGTGTGGAGCCACTGCCTCCCTTCCCAATGGAACGAAACGCTGCCCTGAGGTTCTTGCTGCTGTTCCTGTGTGTGGGATCCGGGGTGTCCGTGGAGCAAACGACTGTGACGTCAGGGAACAGGTCAGTGACTGGGTGTGTGGTGACAAACTTGAGCGAGCCCAGGTTTTAAATGCTGTCATTTGTGCTCTATGGAAGTAGATTCAGTCGCAGTTTGGAGTGTCAGGATGTGGTTGTAATTTCCTTTAAGGTTTAAAAGCACCTAGGGTAATACAGAAATTAATTATTTTGAAACACATAGTGAATTAAATATGTAACTTTAAAGCAATTTTATAAACGTGGCTTTAAAATGAGTGGTTTCTGTGCATCTGTCTGACATTTCATTACATTTTAATGACTCTCATACTGACTTTCCCCGGTCTATGTGAAAATGAGGTTATAAATAGAATAACAGCAAAGGTGTGAAAACTAAGGTGCTAAAATATTCTAGTGGTGTAGAATGGATATTTGAAGCGTGAATTCAATATTGCAAAGGAGTATTGAACTTACAAAATTACTGGAGATTTGGGTTTGTTGTCAATAGTGATGTTTCACTCTCTAATGAAATACAAATAATAAGCCCAAATCATAGCAGGGGAAAGAGGGGACTTCATGGAGCCAAGTGTTATGAAAGTGAAAACAACCTGAGCTGTATGAGTTGAATCATGCCTGGACTCACCAGTAACACACAGAACAAATATGCTGATGGAGGTTGCAGCTGGCAGTAAAATCTGTTCATTTAAGGCAAGAAGGACGTGTGGTGATTTGCTTAAGCTTGTATTAAGAGATCTGGTATTCAGTTACCGATAAATACTACAATATGTTTTCATCTAAATTGAGAACTTGCCGTTCTCATCTGCCAGTTTTCAGCTCCCTCGCTGTTCCTCTTAGCATAATTCTGCATTCTTTTTTTTGCAATCAGACCAGAATCTGAGAGAGAGCAAGCAGAGGAGCATTTTTTACAATGAACTTTTTTACAACAAGTATTAACAGAAGAAGTTGTGACCTGGATCCCAGTGAATTAAATGGGGATTTTGCCTCATTGGAGGTGGGATTGTGCATGCACAGTGTTAATTTGCTAGGCTCTATGACCTCAGAGGTTTGAGGTTTTTTGTATCAAAAAAGAAAGCTTAAGTATCTTGTTCTGATCCAGTCCTAGCTGGGCATCCATTAAACTGCAGATCAAACCCAGTAATCAGTGCACTGTAAAATAGTTATGTAAATCTGTCTCCCTGTGTCAAAACACACATTTGAAAACTGTAAGAGTTGTGTGGGTTTGTAGATATTTCTGGTTGATAGGACTTAACACAGAGGCATTTAAAACTCAGTAACATTTTTTGCCAGGATTTTTCTTAGAGGAGACTAGCTCTTTCCCTAACATGGTGTCCCAGGGTTTGCACATTTATAATGTCCATAACTTCCTTGAAATTCCCTATGGCAAGTGTCCATTGCACAATCAGTGCATTGCCACCAGGTGCTTGTCACCTTTTGTCATGACTTTGTTTTTAGCGCATTTGAATGTTCACGTGTTATTTTCCAATTAAATGCCTTGTAAATTAGCTGAAACTAGTTCAACAGACAGTAACGAATTCTGCAGCTGGGCAATATTAGTATTAGAAAGATGACTCTGAAGTAATAGAAATACTGTTTCTTTAGAGGTGGAGTACATTTTCCCTTCTGGTGCAGTTTATCAGAGCAGTAATATGAAGAGTAAAAGAGTGAATATGATGTGAAAACTTCCTGTGGCTTCCACACTCAACCAGTGTTGGGTGCCAGGATTATTCCTGTGGCTCATCTGAGCAGAGAAAATACTGTTTACATGGAAGTCCTCAAGAGCTGGAGTCTTTATAAACTTTTTTGGACAAACAAGCCAGACTTGGTTATCTTATGTAGATGGATAATGTCATCTGATAAGAGGGAATTTACACTTCTTTATGCTTATAATCTTATTTAATTGGGTTTTACATAGTGATTAGTCATTCCAGTGCTTTGTATTAGGGCTAATCCAATTTCATGTGGGTTCCCAACATACTTGGTATGGTAAATTCAACATACAACCCACATGCCTAGGTGTTATCTGGGCCAGTTATTTATGAATTGCTAAGGAAAAATATTGAAACGTATACCCTGTGAGCAACTGAATTTGAAGTGTCACAGTAAGAGTGTCTGATTAAAAAAATGATAAATTTGAAAAGCTATTCTTTAATTCAGTGTGCTAAAAATGATTTGCTGTCAGTTTTGCAATGGAGAGTAAATGCTAGCTAGTTTCCTATCTCTTGTACATGTAATGAACATTTTATAATTAAAAGGGAATACGTATTTTTAAAAAATTTTCACATTTTTTGCTTTCAATACTTCTGTTCTGTGAAACGTGCTCCAGCTGAGGATGAAAGGGCTTTGGGTGCCAGGGATCGCCTGTGAATTCCCCAGCTTGCCTTTTCCTTGGGAAAGCTGCTGATGTGACATCATGATGGACATGGGCAGCCACTCATCCCTGTCATGGATCACAAACCCATGACACCTCGGGACTGTGGGTGTCAGAAGCAGCTGACAGACCCCATAACATTGACGGCAGCCTGAGCTTGCCCAGACACCAGGACGTGATCCTTGGCTCTGCCAGCCACAGACCGGCTGTGCCCCAGTGATGTGGAATGATGGATTTCCTTCCTCTAACAGAGCTCCATGCATTGTGCAGGAGGAAAGGACTGCTAATTAACAGAGTAATTAACAGGAGGACCAAGCATGAGGTGCTTCCCTTGCAGCCTTATGGTGTCTGTCATGCTGTGGCACTACATGGTGGTTCACGAGTCACTCTCTGCACTGCATTTCCTCATGAAAACATGACTATTTCATCAGCTGTGCACATTCATCTGTGTCAGTATCTTCATGCTAAAAACAGAGACTCGATGTCTTTTCCTGTACTCAGCACTGGTGAGGCCACACCTCGAGTACTGTGTCCAGTTCTGGGCCCCTCAGTTCAGGAAGGATATTGAGGTGCTGGAACAGGTCCAGAGAAGAGCAACGAGGCTGGTGAAGGGACTTGAGCACCAAGTCCTGTGAGGAGAGGCTGAGGGAGCTGGGGTTGTTCAGCCTGGAGAAGAGGAGGCTCAGGGGAGACCTCATCACTCTCTACAACTCCCTGAAAGGAGGTTGTAGCCAGGTGGGAGTTGGTCTCTTTTCCCAGACAACTATCAGCAAGACAAGAGGGAATGGTCTTAAGTTGTGCCAGGGGAGGTTTAGGTTGGATATTAGAAAGAATTTCTTTACAGAGAGGGTGGTCAGACGTTGGAATGGGCTGCCCAGGGAAGTAGTGGATTCACTGTCCCTGGAGGTTTTTAAGACAAGACTGGATGTGGCTCTTAGTGCCATGGTCTAGTAACCACAGCAGTAGTGGATCAAGGGTTGGACTTGATGATCTCAGAGGTCCCTTCCAACCCAGCTGATTCTATAATTCTATGATTCTATGATTCTATGATTCCAGAGTGGTTGTGGGATGTGGAGCAGCCAGGAGTTATTAAGATTTTTTTAATCACAACCCCCAAATTAACCCTTCTTCTTCCCAGAGCAGCATGAAAACCTTATAAGTCCATTTCAGGAATGAAATGAATTGCACAATTTTACACCACCCTTCTCCCACTCCAGTGTTTTAGTTTGTGATTTCCAAACAGGAGGAGTGACCTATGGGAGTTCAACTGTGCATATAGGGAGGAGTTAAAAGTATAACTAAGCGTAACTAGATATACATAGGTACAATACAAGTAAATATAACTAAAGTTAGTATAACTAAAGAATTTTCATTAGTTTCCTTTTGGTGTGCCTTGTTTTTGTAGCTCTTACCATGCAAAAAATTCTCCCACATTTGCCTGTTCCAACCCAAAGGCACAATCTCTCATGAAAATAGACTAGAAAAGACAAAAAGGGATACATCAAATTACAAAAATGTTCCTAATCATAAAACAACCCAAGAGAGAGTTTTATCTGAGCAAGAAAGCAAGGTTTTGTCCATTGTGGCCACATCTTTTGTTACCTGTGTGTCAAAATCTGATATTTCCACCCATCTCTGAGAGCTGTTGGCATGAGCAGTTTCCAGCATCTTGAAGAACTGATTCCAGCACGAACCCTGGCACCCAAAGAGCAGTGGGAGAAAGTGGGAACCACTCTGAAAGTTGAATGAATAAACCTGTAAATAAACCTGCCAGATTAATTTTAAACAGTGTCACCCACAGAGATGTTTTTTAACATAAGATCTTTGTAAGGTTCTTCCAGCTTGAGAGAAAGCAGGGTGGGCTCTGTGCCATCCCATGTTGTTTAGACTCGTATTTATCTGCCATTAATGATGGTGTGATGGAAATTAGGTTGGGATCACTCCTGTTAGTGGGTAACATAGATCCCCCTACCCAGAATCTGGCGGGGAGTGAGTTCACCCAGCTGTCCAGAGACTCCCCAGGAATGCCAAGTCTTGACTTTGCAATTCCAATACTTTACAGTACAATTTGCTCACAAATACTGAAAACTGGTCTTTTTTCTGGTCTTTATATGCTGGTCTTGATGTATATATTTTCAAGAATTTTGCTCCTGTGGTGGGTTGGAAAAGGAGCAGGAAACAAGGCAAGGGAAGAAGATGGAAATGTATTTCCATGTTTAGTGGCTGTGGGGCAGGTCTGGCCCCAGCAGCTGGAGATTTACACTAAGAAGAACATCAAATATTGAAAATTTCATGAGCCTGGTAGTTCACATTTTAGATGTGCTTTGCCCACACCCTACCTTGCAGCTGACTCTGTGACATTTAGTATTGCTTGGAACCGTTCAGGAGCTGTCTTCAAATGGCTGTAGTTCTGGGCTTAAGACATGTTAGCCCATTGCATATGATCTATCCTGAGGGAATTAAACGTGTTGCTTCTGACCCTCACTGTGGAACAAGGGTGGTGCTGGGTGCTTGTGTTCCTCTGCCTGTGGGCTGGAACTGATTCTGTCTCTAACCTAGAACTGGTGTCCCATGGAACGGGACAAGAGAAAACAGGACAAGAGAGAAGCCTTTTGTCAATGTGATAAGGGTATGGGAAAGCCTGTCAGGGCTAATCCACCCAAGGGATCTCTGAAAATTCGGCATTTTTAGCCTGGGCTCAGCAGCTTTGGGTTAATTTGCCTTGTTCCTGCTATATTACCAAGCCAAGGACCTGAGTTACATTTTGAATGTTTTATGGAACAAAGTAGTAACAGGTGTTGTCCCCAGTAAACTTGTTGCAGACTTTAAATCCAGATGCTGTAAAATAAGTATTTTTCTCCTCTCTTGTAGTTCACATGAATTCTCAGATCAAGATTCTCTGCAGAGAAATGGTAAGGCTTTCAGTGGGATGAACTCCTGGATACTGGTTCTGTTAGTGTGGCTGTAAAAGGTTTTATTCCCAAATGTTGCTTCTGCTGGCCTTAGTGACTCTTCTGTCACATGTGTTGTTAAAGCATATCCCCCATTAAAAAACACCCTTTAAAGGATTTACCTGTTTTAAAATACTAATTTGCTGTCCAACTCAGATGCAGAGAGAATGGGGAAGACAAAAGCGTTCACTCTTTTTAACCAAATGAAAACAGAATTAAATTTTTGAAGGATAGAGCTTTGAGAACGTCCATGAAATGACCTGTCCTTGTGAAACTTTGCTCTCCTGGCAAGCAGTTGGGCCATCAGGTTGTTTGTCACATCTTCCTATCTCTGGTGGTGCAGGGAAAGAACTTCCCGCTCGCAATTAAGACGCTTTTGTTGTTCAATTCAGCACACACTCTTTGATGACAGAGTTTGCTGTACAAAGAAAACAAGCATCTTTTGCTGTGTTTGGGATGAATAAATGCAGATGTAGACTGAATCTTGTAATTTTGGGGCACTGGAGTTCCTTCCAGATGTTCAATGAAAAGAAGAGGAACCTTGTTGAACGAGTAAGGTAAACTAGAAAATACATGTAATGAAGGTAGTATTTGGAACAAGTCAAGTATTTTCCAAGACAGAATCAGCTATTCTCACATACACATTTTGTGCAGGGATAATTATTGTTTGCATAAGAACGTGCAAAAATTATGCCTTTATAAATGACTGGGTGTTTATAATATACTAATAATGCTGATAACACTCTTTCTTCTGCAGATCAACATTACCAAGGTGGCGTGAAGCCAAAATTGAATGTCAGTCAAGTGGCAATTGCACAGGTAATGGATCTGTAGAGTCTTTTCATAGCACATTTAGATCTTTTAATTTACATTGTTGAATTAAACTCTTTTTATATTGTTTACCAGAAACAGCCAACAAAACTGCCTAAATCATTGTAATATGGTACTGATTCACTGCCTGCTGTACAAGGTGTCCTCTGGTTTTCTGAGGAGTGAGGTGAGACTTCAGATGCTGTTGCTGATGCTGACTGGCCATGGATTTGGGCACATGGTCTTTCTGAAAGAACCAAATCCTTATATCCATATCCCGTACAGTGACATTTGACTGCTGTGGCCAGTCTTGTGCTTATATCACTTGATACTAAATGAACAGCTGTAGCAAAACTTCATATTTTCAGTGGAAGTTTTTCATGAGACCAGGCAGTAGGTCTTGTCAAAAACTGACCATAAAAGGCTTCCTTACCAAAAGAAGCTCACCAAAAGTGATGCACTCTGCTGTAAGTAACATATTGATTAAATCTCCCTCACCTGTACTTCTGAGAAGACAGCCTTATCATTTATATGGACACAGTCATAGTCACTTACCACATCTGACCGTGATCTTACCTGGCTTTCAGCTTGTTGCTGTCAGTACTTACTAATTTTAATCCTCAAGCACCCTTGTGCCATGTGTAAGGTCCAGTTTCAAAAGGGATCTTTCAGGATCTAAGCTGAGAGACATGATTTTCTAATCTGAACAGTACCAAAAAAAAAAATAAAAAAATCTCTCTTTAAGCCAAGACAAAGCTTTGGGGCTTAACTCTGTCTCTCCTGGAGCCTGGTAAGATGCTGTTTCTGACTGGGACTCAGAAACCTCTCTTATTTTTGTATATGATTTGAACTTGCTGAATCATATGACATGGAAAAACCAGCCATGCAGACATTGTGTGTGTTACCCTGTTCAGATAGGATGTGCATTAGTGGGGCAGAGCTGGTGTCTGGAAATTTGAGTTTGAAATCTGGAAATGGCAGTTAAATTTTTAAGTTCTTTCAGAGCTCTAAGTCACTGTCTCAAATTATGTTGCCTGACAGCCAAATTGTCTTTTTGCAATGAAATTTTGGCTTAGAAGGGGTAGCATTTTTCTAGTGTTTCCAGATGACATGGAAGCTGCAGTCCCTGGGTTTTAACCCTGTAACTGATTTTGTAAAGGCAAGGATCCACACTTGAGCCATCCTGGTCTGCAGCAGGTATTTTCCTGATTTTAAAGCAATTAGGAGCCAAACTACCTGCAGGCAGGTGTAAACTTGCGCATTTCGTTCACCTGGACAGCTGCCTAATGTGCTTTCAGCATGGTAGGCTGTGTCCTTGGCCCAAACTGAGTCCTTTTCAGTGTGTTGAAGTACTTCTTATTGGTGTCCCAGGTAAACAACCTCATTTATTCTGGTAGGATGGAGAGCAAATCCTGAAATGCACACCTTCTGATAGCCATCTTTTGTGTGGTTCCTCAGATTGTCAGCCACAACTTCAGCAGGGAAGGGCAGTGGGAAGGAGCATTCTGGAGGCGGTTCTCCCACAGCCACCACAGCCCCCTCAATGTCACGGTCAATGGCATCCCCTGCATCCTTTTCTGGGCCAAGAGGATCATGATCAGGCTTGAAAACCACACTCAGCTGGACTTGACAGAGAAGACATTTGGTGTCCATGCCACAGTGGATGTTGGAGACTCAAACTGCAGTGAAGACAGTGCAATGTAAGGTGGAATTCTGCTACACCAGTGGAACTGGTGCCAGATTACAAGTCTAGGAAGTACATACTGAAGGAAAACTGACCTTGTAGAGCCCCGGGGCTCTTTCCTAAATGTCCTGCCATTGCAGCAGCAGGGGTTATATCCTTTAAAGCCAGCCTTTCATGGGGCACATGGGTGTACTGAGCTGTTGCAGTGGTGTGGTCACTCCTTGGGGCCAGCCAGCTTTGCTCTTAGGGCCTGTGAGGCCTCAGCTGTTGATCTGTTTAGCTTCCAGCTGTTTTAGACAATTGCTTGGGAGGCTGAAGAGTGGGTTCTATGCTGAATATGGGGCCTTTGGGCTGTGCATGACTACTCACCCCTTTACAGGAGGTGTGCCAGCAGTACTGTACAGGATGCGGGTCTGTACTTACTCCTATATGGCATTTCACCTGTACAGCTAAATATGTTTCCCCAGAAAGTATTAACTCTTTCTGATCACACAGCTGCAAAGGATAACCCAAGGTGCACAGAAATTTTACTGAGAAATGCCTGAAAACTAAAAGTAAAATTGAAAAAGAAACCAGGACTTTTGTGTGTAGTATCATAGTATTCAACGAGGGCAGTCTGAATATTATGTCATCAACATGTGAACCAATGCAGCAGTTCCATCAAGATGTGAACTATTCCATTAGTTCTCCCTACCCTTTTCCTGTCAAAACAGGCGGAGGTAGAGAATGGAATAAAGTTATTTTAGAAATAAAAAGTAATAACAAACATTCTGTCCTCTCTTCTGGTCTACAATTTGGAAATAATCTTGCTCTGATTAGTAATTATTGCAATGTAATAGACTGCAAAATGAAGGGTTTCAAAACACAAAGAATAGTTTCATAGTTTTTCATAAGACCTGGAAAATCAGAAGGACAATGTTTTTTTGTGGTCTGTGAACTCCTTCTAGAGCTGATATTTGGAGACTGTTAGACAAGCAGGTTACTCTGTCTCCCTGTCTGTCACGGGTACCTCTGTAGTCTTACTACTGTAGAGGCTTCATTTTGTAAATACAGATTTCTAAGAAATTAGGGCTTGCCCTGACTCTGTCTGGGAGGGAGATAATGTGTGATTCTCTTGTGATTTGGGTCTGTGGCTGAAGCAGTGTTTGTGACAGAGAGGAAAGGGAAAAACTTGCTTGAAAGTTGCTCTGTAATCTCAGTTTTAAGGACCAACCTAAATTAAGCCAGTTGATGGCTCAGTCCTCACATGGTAGATTGCCCAGTTTTTCTCACATCAGAAAAAAATCCCTCAGAATTCTCCCTTCTCTAGCTTTCATTGTTAAGACAACTCTCTGTATTGTCTTTCAAGCTGATTTATGCTGTGTAATCAGGGTAAAGTAGCTGGAGCCAGGAAAAAATATTAGACACCGAACACATATTTGTTTACTATAGGAATATAATGATCCAACCTGTGTTTTTTTCTTAGTTGAATGCTGTATTTGCCTGTGGCTAATCCTCAGCTATTATGATTTCCCTTTGCAATAAAGAAAGGGATAGTCTGGATTCAGTGTCCTTGCTTATTGGACCAGTGTTAGTCAAGGAGTCTTGAAGTCTAGATCTCCTATGAAATCATAGGGATAGCTGTTTGGGGGTTTTTTTGGTGTGTTTGTTTGGTTTTTTAATTTAGTTTTGTTTTGTGTGAAGTTTTTTGTTTTGGTTTGGTTTGTTTGTTTGTTTTTTAAATATATTCTTCAGCTTTAATTTTGGAAGTCTTTCAGATGCTGCATGTTTCTGCTGTGTTTTGTTTTTGTCTTATGTGAACAATGAGAATCTCTATACAGGTTTTAAGAGGCAAAATATTAGTGTTAAGTGATGAAACAATATATTCCACTTAGTTACGTATTGCTACTGTGCATTAAGCTGATAGATTAATTTAGTAAATTTCAGGTGCCCATGCTCACTGCAGGTGACCTTTATAGAGCTGCCTCACAGTCAGGGTATTTATGTGGCTCTAATGATGTGCATGTGTGGACTTTGGACTCCAGAGACATCTGTGTTTTTTATGCTCTGGTATTTAAAAAGATGAGAATAATATGTGTGTTTACACTTTCTGATGACATACAGAGGTGATAGCTGACTGAGACGACATGGCTTGAGAAGGAGAACAGAGATCTACTGAACTAATTACCAACTGATGTGCAAAGCAGTGGGATTTAATTGTGCTGGAAGTTAAACATACATTTATACTCTTTCTAGACAGTTTGGACCTCGTTCCAAACTGCAGGTGAACTAGTAGATTTCAATGGAGGAAAATTTAATCCTTCCAGTTTTTTTTCCCCACTGACTTTAAGGATATACTGAACAAAAGGCTCCAGGTATAACTGAGTTTAATCTTTTGTGCTGCTTTTCTCTCTGAAGACTTTTGAATTTTTTTCCTAGCCTGATGTAACTTGCTTTTTGACCTAGGCTTTCTCTGAAGTTTGGGGACATTGGCAATCTAAAGGGACTAGTTATCAGGTAAGTTTATATGGCAAAAAAACCCAACCAGATAATAAAAACCAGGTTAATATACATTGTTATGCAGTTGCTTGTGGAATTATAAGTGAATTTGTTTAAGCAAAAATAATGTGATAGAAATTGTTGATTGTATAATTGTCACACCTGCATTCAGTGTGTCTGTCATTTGCCTGCCTTGTTCTAAGGCATTTTTTCTCCTTTGTTGGCTTTTCTATTAATGAGAAAAGTTTACATCATCTCTTTTGTATAGAATCTTTCTATATCTGAGATTTTAGCTAAACTTTGGTGATTTACTACATCTTTCTTGGGAATTTTATGTCAAGAACTGGTAGTGTGGGCTGTTCAGACCTCAGACTGTGACCTGGTTTATGTTTACTTCTTGGTGACAGAAAAAACAGCATTTCTTGTTAATTAACTTCCCATATCTTGGATGGAAGTACAATACCAGTGTGGTAGTTTATTTTGGCTGAATGCTAGGTGTCCACCGAGGCTGTGCAGGTCTCCCTCCATCCAGAGGGAAAAGGGGAGATGAAAAAAACCATAAAAACCCAGGATTTACCAAGAAAGGCAGTTTTATATTTACACAGAAGAAAGGAAAAAAAAAACTAATAACACTACAAAAATATAGACAAAGGAAACTAACAGTAAAATTCTACTTCCTGGAATAAGCGAAGTGCTATTTCTCTCTCTCCTCCAAGGAGCAGACATCCTGCCAGATAGCTATCACAGAAGAGAGTGAGTTACTTCCTTCTCCCTCTTTATATCTGAGCTGATGTAACATGATATGGAATATCTTCCAAGTCAATATGAATCAGGTGACTTATCCTATGTTTCCTCCCAGAAAAAGGAAACAAACCTACTACAACCAGTGTTGGATATATTTTGCTCAACCATTTATTAAAAATCCCTCAAAATCCTCTTATTGTGTGGGAGAACAAGTAACAAGGAGCAAACTCCTTCAGTTGCAATAATGAACAACCTCAAAACACAGAATTTTTAGCATTGGAAGGGACCTCTGGAGATGACCCGGCCCAACTCCCTGCCCTGGCAGGGTCACCTGGAGCAGGTCACACGGTAACATGTCCAGGTGGGTCTGGGATGTCTCCAGAGAGAGAGACTCCACACCCTCCCTGGGCAGCTGTTACAGGGCTCTGCCACCTCCATGGAAATCTCTTCCTCGCTTTCCAGACTCAGTGGAAGGATCTAGAGCTCACACAAATATAAACTGGTCATGCCAGTGAGTCTCCTAAGGTTGTTCAATGTGCAAATTCAACAGGTGGAACCCTTTGACTTGTTTTCCTACTCACCTCTCTCCCCACACGATGTTTCCAGGCTCTTGCTGACCACCAGCTATTACCAGCTATCTGTTCAGAACTGGTTCAGCCTGCACAGGCTGCAGCTGCTGTACAACCACTCGGTGCAGGCGACGTTCAATGCGACCCGAATCCATGCGCCGGCGACTTACTCCTACCACTGCGACCACGTGAGCAGCCTGCAGAGATACGATGCTCTCCTCATTCCCAGCTCTGCAAATGACCTCTCACAGCTCTGGGAAGTCACTTTTATTGATTTCCAGGTAACATCATGGAATTAGGCCCATGGGATCCTGTAGGTAGATTGATGGGAAGTTTTGGCCATTTGCTGACAAGGAAATATAATGACCTTCTATGTACAGTCTGTGGGATTTCCATGGAACACAAAATTGAAATAAGAACTTAAATTATTCTCTTTATCTCCCTATCAAAGGAAATTAAGGGCTGTATAGATTTTCTGTAGTCTTCTGCTTGTGTTCCCTTTAGTGTGGGGGGTGAATTTAACTTCCAGTGTTCCATCTTTCTGAGCAGAGCCGTTAAACGTCGCATCAGTAACAGCATCAGACACCAGGTACAGGATTCATCTCGCTTAACTTTTGATGCCTAGGAATTTTACCCTGTGGCCTGATTATAGTCACCCCAGCCTGCCTCTAAAGCTAGTGGATAATTCCTCTGACTCGTCTTAAGTCCTTATTTTAGGATGAGATTAATAATCTTCTAAAAGTGCCAAGTTTTCTGTGTTTGGCAATGAGGGAGCCTCAGAGGGCTGGACTAGAACATCTTGCTTTTACATACCTAAGTCATAGGGCATGAAGAGCTGAAAAAGGGAATTGAAGAGGAAAGCTGGTCCTCTTTTCTCACCATGAGATAAATGCTCATGGGCTGATTTAGTGGAGCTGGCACAATTCCCTGAATGCCAGTGTGGTAAACTTCATATTAGAGCTGAAGCCACAAGTGAAAATTGTTGGTGTTTTCCATAGTTGGATGCAGCTTCCTGTAGTGTAGTTGGTTTGCTACCAAATACCACACACATGGATCTGGTGAGGAAAACCTAATTCTAGGGTAGGCATTTCAAAATATTTCCTGGTTTGTTGCATTGAAGTTTATGCAGTTTGAAACAGAGACTCTGAGGACCCTCAACAAGTGATGCTGGAGGTGCACCATTAAGGTGAAAGGCATTAATTAAATATTGTGGACCATCAAGAGAAGATTTTTTTTCAAACACAACTACAAATCCTTTGGGCAGCAGAGCAGAGGGGATTAGAATAGCTAGTGGTTTCTAGAAGACTGACCTGGAAAACCTCTGAGCATTAACTCCAGCCAGCACAGGGAGGTACAAATTTGCAATGTGCAGGTATTTAATTAGAAATTCTTACTGCCATCAGGAACACAAGCACCTCATTTAACATGAGCTCTCTTGTTCTCCTCGTAGATCCAAGGTTTTAACATCCAGGAAGGACATTTTGCCTATGCAAAGGACTGTGCATCCTTCTTCTCTCCAGCAATACTGATGGGGCTGGTGATGTCCCTGATCCTGCTGCTGGTCCTTGCCTATGCCCTTCACATGCTGATCCATCTCAAATCCCTTGACAGGCACCATGAGTGCAAAGCTTCTCCTGCCTATTTTGCACAGACGAAAGACAGCGACATGGGAGATGAGAAGGAGCCACTGAGAAACAGTGGGAATGAGTCCTATGAACTTAGAAACAAGCAGTTTGGTAAAATCTATATTTAGCAATGTGCATCTAAGTGAAACGAGGTATTTTCTTCTGCTGGCACTGTTGTGTGTAGTTGGTGCAGGTCTTTCACCAGCTGATGAAAGGAAAAGTAGACAGAAACAGACTGTTTAACTGGTTATTTATTGATCATCATCTCAAAGACGCCTTGGGAAACAAGCTGAGATAAAAAAATTCCATTGTGAATAAGAGATTCATGTTATGGGACTTCATTCCTGTAGCAAAAAGCCAAAATGCATAGCTTTTATCCTGCTTACAAGGTCTTGAAGAGAGAATCAGTAATGAAGACTTTGAAATCAAATAAAGATACTAAATAGATGTGTATCTATGTATAGATAGATAGATATAGATGTAAATCTCTTAGCTTGTTCTTTCAGAAGGCAAGATATTTCCTCATTTTGTATTTCCTCTGTGTCTTGACAAAATATCATAAATTTCTTTCTCAGGATGTGCTTTCCTTTTATTTTCCAAGTTACATCCCCTCCTCTTAGTCGTCATAAACTCCTTTTCTTTCAGAGCCACTTAAGCTGTGTTTTTATCCGCAGTGATGGCTCCAGAACAGCAGCATCCTGATACTTCCCTGTGTCTGAGCTGGAGGCTTACTCTGAGGATCCAGTGGGAGAGCACCAGACATCTGGTCAAAGGCTTACCCTTAACTTCCTGCCTCAACTGCACGCCAGAAGAGGGATTATAAGCATAATACCCTGTAATTCAAGGTTAATTTCTTTCCTATCAAATCCCATCAGTCTCCCTTGTGAATTTTACCTGAATGGGGGTAACCAGTGCTATAATTCAAAATCTATATAAGCAAAGCGGAGGAAGCTCCTTAGCACTGAAAAAGGTACTGTGATATGATTTTCAGTGCTTTGTCTGAGCATTTAGGACACGGTGGTCCTCAAACTTGTCCTTTCTTCCGTTAAAGGCAAAGTTTGGGAACTTCAAATTAGCCATGATTTGGCCCTGATTTCTAGTAAGGAAGAGCACAGTAACGTACCAACTATAGTGCTTTTAGGTTATAAGTAATACTATGTAATAATAAGTAATAATATGTTAGAAAATCTTCTGCAAATACGGATTTAGCAGGCATGTTTTATGCCTGTTTTATTTTAGATAATAGAACTAATTAGTTGTTTGTAGTCTTTGTAAACTATACTGCAGTGGTCTTTAAACACCTTGAAAGGTGTCCAAAGATCTCCTAATTATTAGGTAGGCATTCCTGAATATTTCCTGGTTTGTTGAAGTTTATGCAGTTTGAAACAGAGATTCTGGAGATTCTCAATAAGTGATGCTGGAGATGCATCATTAAGGTGAAAGGTACCAATTAAATATTGCTGAGCCATCAGCAGTGACACACAGGTGGAACCCAAATCAGTTGATTGATTTAGGGAAGTACTTCAGAGGGAAAAAAACTCCCCATTTTTGACACATAACCAGAAGTAAGGACTTACCACAGCTGCCTGTGGGCAGCTGCTGCCAAACTTTCATTTGTTTCATAAAGGAAACAAGCGAAACAATGAATGCCTGGGAACCTGAGTGAGGTTAACAAGAGAAGGTGCAAATCAAAACCAGGGTATTCCCTGCTGAGTGGCAAAACACTCTCCAGCTTGGTGCCCTCTGCTTGCACCCAGTGGGGACAGATGTTGGCAGATGTTAGAGTTCAGGATGCCAGTGCTAAATAGGTGATGCTCCCCGTGGTCTGGAGAGCAGTGCTGTCATGCCCTGGAGGTTGGGAAATTAAAACCTGACACCAGTCAGTGGCAGCCTATCAAAATGACTGTCAGTCACTGGTGTGAAATGTTCACCCTGCTGAGCCAAGCACGGCAGCACTTCCTGAACATTGTGTTCTCTGGGACACAAAGGCACTTCTTCCTCCCACAGAGGTCATTTATCCTTCTAGTTACTGTCTGATGGTGCTGTCAGGGTAATTCTTACCTGTCATTTTCTTGCATGTTTTAAATGGGCAAAATTAGCCCTGTTGCTGTGAAAGATTCTTACAACTCTGAGACTGGGAATAAGAGAGATACCCTCCAGTCATATCCCTCAATCCTCATGTCCTTTTCCAACCCAGCTGTGTTCTCCTGACTTTGAGGGTGAATATCTGCTGGCTTTGTGCTTGAGAGACTCATTACTGCAAACCTGCAGTGTGTAACAGTTCAGGTTTTTTTGGTGCAGACTTTAATGATGTGTGTGGCCCTTTCAGCAGGAAGTCACTTGAGCAAAAGATAGGAATTTGTACCTGCTGATTTACAAGGCAAACTTTAGAATAAAACAGAATGAAAAAATGAAAAGGAGAGGTAAAAGTAAAAAAAATTACCAAGAAAAATAAAATTTGTTTCCTTTTATCAGCTTCTCCTAAACTATGACACAACTGGTATTATCCCCAGGATCCACTGGGACAAGGTGCACAGGTAGTAGTTATCTTATCTCTGCTGTGACTTTTAGTGTTACAGTCCTTCATGGTAGTGGAAGGTGACTCTACTCCTCCATGTATCCCCTGTATCATCACAATTCTACTCAGGTGCCAGCAAGAGTCAGAAAGGATAAACACACTAATTGAATTAGACAGGAAATACAGTGCTCATTATAGGACTGGAATGATGAGCCTTGTTTGTAAAGAGTTAATGGTACATTAGTGGAAAAAGCACCAGAAGAAAAAAATTCATCATAATTGCAGTTTCTGTCTCCTTGTGCCATGTATAAAGGCAAGCACCCATGGTTGAAAAAGACAAAAATGTGTGGCTTTGCATTCCCACTAAGCTGTATTTTCTGTGAGCCAAGCAATCCTTATCAAATGCACATTTTGGAGCAACAGGGACAGTCCATTCACCTGGTCCTGAAAGAAGAAAATTCAAGTTAAAATTATTTGTGTGCTACAGAAATAACCTACATTGGTACTAACAGACTCATTAATAAAAGATAAGCTTTTTTTACATGGTCCACGTGCTGCATTATTTCATTTTTGCATGACATCAAGCAACCTTTTCAACATACATGTGTTCATTCAAACAAAATCCTTATATCATCGCTTCAAAACTGATTCAGTGTTTCAAATTCAGGGCCCCATCCACTCCTACTTAAACTCAAAGGGAAGAGTCTCCGTTTAAATGAAACAGGAAAATTTTCGCAGACTATTATGCAGCTCTCGCTGTGATAACAAAGAATTGAACAAATGAATACATTTATTTCTAATACATTTCAGCTGCTGTTAAAATTTTATATAATTTTCCTTCACACCAATATTAGGCAACTTTACATTGGCAGCAAATTGGATTTTCAGGCAATACATTAATGACTGCTGTTTGAACTGAAGTGGTGGACTTTTGGCATAGTATTGATTAAAACTGCACAAGGAATTATCAGAGCCAAGGCCACTGTGGATACAGGGACAAAAACCACAAGTCCACTTGCTGGTAAGTAACACTGAATTCCAGGTAGGCAGAAGAAATAGGTTTATTTCTTTCCTTCAAGTTTTATAAATGGTGGTGTTTCCCTGCCCTTCTTGAAATACTGATTCTTGCTGTAGCAAGTGTTAGTTCTGTCATTGATTTTTTTTTAATTGTTGATTTCCAAAAGGCTGGGTGCAACATTCCATTTCAGAAACTGTCCCCAGGAGCTCAGAAAGCATTTACCAGGGTGGGTCTGTTCTTCACCATTATTGAATATCCCTTGAATTGTTCTCCACTTCTTGTAACCCTTGTGACATTGCATTTAACTGGTGTATGGTAGATCTTAAATCTGATTTATTGGTTCCTAGATCACCCCTTAGTTTGTTTGATGTAACAATACAGGCTTTATTTGATGTTACATGACACAGTCTGAAAGAAATTAGAAGAAAATGCTAAACCTTGTATCTACATTTTTGCACTTTTGTTTCTTCAAGCTGACATCTTGTCATATGTCAGAAAATGTAATTTGTTTCTTCTGAGTCAGTGGTGTGTAAAGTTACTCATGACTCACACTGTGTTTGAAGCCTGACAAAGAGTTTCAATCCCTGCAAATTTTGGAACAGCTCTTCTGAACATTTTGCATCTGCCTAGTTCTGAGTGCTTTTTCTGGGTCAGTTTTATGATTTTGGTACATCAGCCTGCCCTGTGCTGGCTGCCTAAAGATTTTAATTGGTTATTGGAAGTAATCACTTTGCCTGTTTGCAGGTAAGTGCTGCTGCTTGGGAATGTAAAGGAATATTGATTTTTGGAAACTCAAAAAGGAAGTTTTCCAAATAAATGATGTTTTTTTCCGTCAATGCATCCTACTGAGCTTTTGCATATTAACACAAGCTACTTGTTCATTGGAGACCTTTACTTTCCTCTCTCCTGGCTTCGGCTTGAAGCTGAAGTGGATGGACCAGGGCTACAGAAAGAGCAGCAACACTTTTTATTTGGCCTCATGATGCCTCTTAGGCTATTGAGTTGCCTTTCAGGTGTCCAGGAGCCAGTCTACAGCTTTTCTGCCATTTCTATGTGTCTGCAATGGAAGGAATTTATTATCAGGCTTCCCTCACCAAAAAAACCCCCAAAATAATACCCCCACCCCAAAAATGCACCCCCCCCAAACAAAAACAAACAAACAAACAAACAAAAATTATTTTCAGCCCTGGACATGATTTGTCATTGTTTTCTTCCAGCTAAAGCTGGTCTTTGCAGTGAAAAGGGCACAGAACTTGAATTTTCAGTGTTTTATCAACAAAGAGCAGGTTTTTCACTCCCAGATGTAGTTTTCTGTCACAAAATATTAATCAAGGCTCTTCAAGAGACCGAAAAGCTCTGTCCCAATTACACCCCTGACTTCAGAAATGTGAAGCCAAAGGGAAAGGGACAGTTTTGTCTTTACTCCTTGAAAAATCTCACATTCAACCAGTTTGAAATCATGGGCTGTGAAATGGAGTGTGGAGTCATGACAAGTCCTGCCCCTCATCAGTGAAAAGAATTTGGCGGTGATATGGTTTGAAGCTGGCTCCCTGCCAAGTCTCCAAACCCTACCACAAGAAGTTCCTCCCTCCCCTAAACCTCAGTGAGAAGAGAGGAAAAAAACCCAAGAGAACCAAAACGAGAGAGAGACAGCTAAAGCAATATATATAAATATATTTACACTTATATTACAGTTATATACAATTGAAATATATATACAATTTCACAAGGAAAAGGGAAAGGGAAGGGGAAGGGGAAAAAAAAGGAACAAAACCAGATTAAAAAATATATATCCTGATCAATAGCCCAAGATCTAGCAACTAAAAGAATTAGCAAAGAGTGTCTTACTACTCTCCTTGGGACAACGGAAAGTCATGCCGGAGTGACTGCCGGCAACCTCCGCCACCCAAGGTTGGCAAGGCCTTACCAGGCCTCACTCCCCAACCCGACAGACTCAACAGCAGGGAAACCCGCACCTCCAAAGCTGCTGGAAGGAGAAAGAGAGGGCAAAGGCCTCTCCTCCTTTCTTCTTATACCCCGGCTTATGTAAAAATCGTAGGGAATACTGGGTAAATCCAGGCACTTCCTTGGTTACAAACTGGTCACCAAGGAAGGCCTAGACCAAACTACCACAGGTGGAAATCCTTAAACCTATTCCTAAATAAGCACACCCTCAGTATTGATGTTCTTCCATTTCCAATCTGTTTGAAATGGAAGAGTCTTAACACAAGGAAGGGTCTTAAATCCTGCAGTTCATCTTCTGGATCCCTTTGGTATTGGGACTGGTGCCTGCAGTGCCAGCTGGGAATTTTTAAGGGTTTCAAATGGTTTATATAAACACTCTCACAGAAAAACTGATGCTCTGCCAAAGTCCCTTGAGTCTGTAGTCCCCAGGATGTGCCATGAAGGCTCTTAAATTCTGCAAAACTCTACAGTGAAAATTAAGAAGATGCAGAATTACACATTTTATATTATTGGAAAGATTAATGGGTCACCACCAAGTGGAAATTCTTCATGTAGGCAGATTCTTCATGTAATTGAAGTGATCAGGAAATCTTCAGTTCTCCTGAAAATCTGCTTAGTGAGTTACATAAATCCCTGGTAGGAACTGGTGTGGAAGTAGCTGTGGCATTGTACTCCAGTAGTGCCTGAATACATATTTGAGTTTGTTTCTTTGGCTAACGGCTAAGAAGATATTTCATTGGGAACTCTCATTTTGTGTGCAAGATGTGCAGGGTGTAGTCTTGAAGCTGGGATCTCATTAATTTTTCTTTTATGCTTTCAAACACAGAAGTGAGTAAATGTTTGTATTTTTGTGGTTGTTTTGTGTTTTTTCTTTTTTTGTTTGTTTTGTTTTGTTGTTTTTTTGGGGTTTGTGTGTGTGTGTGTTATCCATTAGGAGGCCTAATGTCTGAATTGTTCTGAATTAATAAATTTTCATTTCTTCCAGAACACACTGGGAATTTCAAAAGAAATGCAGGTAGTAACTCTAAGAAGAGTTATGGAGAACAAAAACCTTATGTGCTGCTGCTGGCTCTTAGCTCCAACCTAATACTACCAGTTTCATGGTAGAATTTCTGGTAGAAATAAAGAATTATCATTATTTTAAGCTTACAGAGAGTAATCAGTCTAATAGAGACACTAACAACGTGCAAAACCACGACATTTTAACATATCTTGTGAAAATCTACTCAACTGTTCTTTCACCCCAGGACAACAGGGCTGGTCAATTCTGAGAGTATGAAGTCTTGATCAGAATTAAGCAGTAGGCTTTTTAGTATGAGCTGCTCTTCAGAGGATCTTAGAACCAAATAAGCTGTTAATAATTTCTTTAAAACCACTTGCTGATATACAGAATATATTTTCTATGGTGTTCTTCAAGGTTTCCAAAAAATATCCATTCCTTGAGTGGAGGGTGCATCTGGTAAAATATCATATTCTCTGATCACAATTGTGTTCTCACTGTAACACTACTCTAAGGTTTTCTTACAAGCTAATGAAATTGCTGCTGAAATTAGCATTGGAAATTCAGACACACCACCACTTTCTCATTTATAAATAAATGATTTATAATTTTTATTCATAAGAAATTTATTTTATTTGAAATTTTCAGGACATTTTCATGTTGCTTTTTTTCTTAACTCTGAACATAGACACTTTCAAAGAGGCAAACAGGGGCTCTTTGCCACAGAAGCAAAACATTTTCTCTCTTCTGATGGTTCAAATGAGAGACAGAGAAGGAACTGAGAAAACAAAATGCTTGAAAACATCCTCTGTCAGCCTCTCCTGACAATCTGAAGCAACACCTCTGGAAAAAAGTAGGCAGCTTTCAAGTATTTAATCGGGAGATGAACTTATTACTAGTCTTTTCAGTCCAACACACTGGAACAGAAATCCGTGAAGGAATCTGAGCAGCTGGGTGTTTTCAGCCTATCTTGTAGGTGCAGTGTTCATGCATACTCACAGTGGCTTCTTGTGGTTAACAGGATTTTGTTTTAAAATGTTTGTTTTCACATATCAGCCTTGTCTCTAGGTGAGGCTAAAGACCCCTTCATTCCCTGCCCAGACAAAACCTGCTGCCAACCCATTGCTGCCTTTTCCCATCAATCCCAGACTTTTCCTCTGTCACAGCAACTGTGTGACTGCTTTTGTTACATCTGTTTTTAGAAAAAAACCCAAACAACAAAATATATACTGCCTTATAAAGAGACTTTGCTTGGCTGTGCTTAACATTCTGGTCTGTTGAGACAGACTCTCAGCTGGCATGTGAATAATTTTAACTGCTGCATATGCTACTTTGCCGTATTAATTCTTACCAATTCTGGCCAGGTACTCATTTAAAATAGAGGAATCTGACTGAAACACTGGAAAAGCCAGTGGGGATATCTCCAGTGGGCTTTGGAGTTGGCATGGGTGGTCAGAGAAGTGGTCTGTGTTCCAGTGGTGGATAAAAGGAGGTCTGGGATTAGGTAACACCTGTGACGGCCCCAGCAGTCTATGCCCTGTGGTACCTCTGAGGGGTCCTGTGCTCTCTGCCAGGGAGAGGAGACTCTCACTCCTTGTTTGCTGGGAAGCTGCATTTTTTTCTCTCTGCCCATCTCACTCCATCTCTTCCCTTGTTCAGCTTGGTTTCTTGCCATATGTTCTTCCCCTTCTGGCTGTCACTCAGGAAGATTGGCATCTGCCTTGTGCAGAGAGCTCCCTTAATTAGCTCCAGGAGCATCTTGCTCCTGTTTCTCTCCTGCCACACAGGCAGCTGGTAAGACCCTTCCTTCTGTTGATTTGTACTTGTGCCCTTGTCGTACAATTCCTGCCTGACCCTTTTCGTGGCTGCTCACTAGTGACAATTGAGTACCCCAAAGCCCACTTTTTGGTGGACCACCTCACAGGACAGCATGGAATTCTTCCCCTCCTGTCCCCCCCCCCCCCACCTTCTCCTCCCCCTCCTTCTTCTCCTCCCAATCTTTTTTGAACTCTGAAAGGTTTTATACTTGACAAGCCTGAGCACTGCTACTGCCTGCCCTCCTATAGATTTATTCCTTAGGGGTCTGCCCTTCCCCTCTTGGTTCCTTGTGGCTGTCAGATGTGATTTCCCATGGTCCTGCACAGAGATGATGTGAATCAGAAGCCTCAGGCGGTTCTTCCTCTTCCAGGAGAGGGGCAGGACAGGGCTGGCTGTGATGAGCACTGCCAGCCTGGTGAAGGCAATCTATTTAGCAAGTGGATGCAGATGCTTGGGGAGAAGGCAGCTCCTCTGCTATCCTGACTTGATCCCAATTAAAGATGTGGGAAATCTTTTTCCTCCTCATATTCTGAAAGCCTTGTGACAGATGACTGTGTCTCACTCGAAGAGAGATTAAAGGAGGCTGTTGTTTGGCAGAAGGGGTCAGGAGTATGGCAATGGAAACTACCCAGTGCCTGGAGAGGAGGAAACACATGAGGAGAACTTTAAAAAAATCAAAACTATTTAGCATGGAAATCCAAACAGGAGGAGGAAATATGATGGTACGACAAATTTTATTCAGAGATGAAGACACCAAACAAATGATGTTTTCTCAAATAAATCCCTTGATCTATGGACATGCAGTCCCCTGGCAGAGTATCAGGGCAACATCTCTCAAGGCAAGTCAGCTGAATTTATTTGTGTAATAGATTCATATGTGTGGTTCACAAAGGCACAAGGTAATGCAGGGGTGTAAAAGGATGTGACTGCAGAAAGTGAGATTTACGTTCCTGGCTCTGGTGTTGCATCACAAAAGTCATCTACAGTAAGTTAAGAAGAAAGGAGTTTCTGCTTGTGAGTTTTTGTTCTACACCTGCAAAAATCTGAATTGGGTCCTCTGTCAGATTCCAAGAGGATTTCCAGTGCCTGGAAAACAAGGATTTCTGTGGTGAAAGCTTCCAAGCCCAGCAGAGACCAGGTCTGACTGCAGAGGTGAGTGTCAGCCAGAGAGAGAAACAGCAGAGAAAATATTTGCAGGTGAGAATACAAAGGGAGTGCAGACCTGGTAACCCTACAGGGCTGATTCCTGCTTTCCAGCCAGGTTTGGCTGGGAAAAAACAGCTTGAGCAGTTGTCTTACAGACTGATCCTTTATCTTTGTAAACCTGCACTCCTGCACCTTTTCCCTGCTGTTAAGTCCCGTGCATCCGCCTGAAAACACATGCCACCTAAGTGCCTACACTGTTTGAGGAGCCACATCTACAGCTTTGGGAATAGCCCAGAAGCCTTCAGACCTACAGAATCACCTTCCTTCAGGGGCAAACATGAGAAAATCATTATTTGTTAGGAGAGTTTGATTCCCAACTGCTCTGAAAACAATGCCTTTTGGGATTCAATTATCAGCAGTTTTATGACATATCAAAGGCAGCATATGTAATGCTGGAAAATGACTTACAGCTCCTGACACTCTTCTTTGAGTTTCAGAGCTGTTGAACAGTTCAGAAATCCTCAGTTCTGGAATATAGAGCTGGGATGGATTATTCTGTACCTCTTACCCGTGCTAAGTGGTGGAAGGGAGGACAGCCAGCTGTCTTACACAGATGTGGGAAGCAGGAGAGGCCATAGGAGAACAGAGCCTGAGAGCAGCAAATCCAAATAATACTTCCACAGAGTGATTACAAAGATCCCAGGAGATGTTGCTGGAGTGATTCTTCTCCTTCGGGTCTGTACCTAACACTGAGCCTGTTTGGCAGTATACTGTGTTTTCTGGATATTCCCACAAATTGCAGATCTAATTTGTGCTGGTTTAGAAGTAAACCCGCAGGAAAAATGAACCCAACTCGAGAGAGATTACAAGTCAGAGTTACAATTTACTAAAAAAAGGTTACAATAAATGCAATGATACAGAGAAAAACTGGTTTTCATCCCCAACAAACAGACATATAACCCAGC